ATAGGTCTTAGATTAGGTACTGTATGGTATATAAGCCCTTTTCATGGTTGATAAGTGGACTGATAGAATATTTTCGCTCATTATGTTTCTCTGCCATCGTATTAGCGTCATTTTAGACTGCAACGTGTGTCGTTTCCGAAGTGAAGGTGAATACAGCTCATAGTGAAAGAGAATTAATTTTTTATTACTCCTGACATATAATTGCCGATAATAAATAGGTGATCGTTATTAGTTGGTTAATTTTAACATTCCTAATGATGATACAATACAAAAAAAATTGTTTTTTGAAAATCCTATGGGAGCAGAAAAACAACCTTATATTGACCCTCCTTGCCGCACGAGATGGCTCCATGAGGTTATGTTATCGTCACGTGACTATCATGCGCGAAAATTGAACGATGCTATTTCCATCGATAGCCTCGCGGTGCGAAATAGTATCCCGGTTGAGCACCGTTATATCTTATATAACAGTCTTCTTCTAGAATAATACCGCGTTTCGAGCGATCGGAACGGATAGGTTCGGCGTCGACATCGAAATCCTTGGGAGTCTCTCGGCTCGGATAGCGCGCGCGTTCTCGCAAGGGGCCTCGTTCGCCATTATTTCGGGAGAGGAAGCCCGGATATTTTCGCCTGCCAGACGAGAACAGAGGCGGCTTGGGCGAACGATGACATCACTCTAGTACGCGGGATCAAGGACGGCGAAGCGCGTGTTGAAAGCTGCTCTCGAAGGATCTATTCGCCCGCGTGTACACACACACACACACATACACACACACGCTCGCGTAGAGCGTTTCCTCGACGGCAACTCGACAACATATGGCGAAACTTCCGGAAATGCCCATGTTCCGATTTAGCTCAAACTTTGTAAAATAAGGCTCTCTTTAGATAAGAAATTAGTATCCCAAAAAGAAATGTGGCGACTCGAATGTTAAACTAGTTTTTTAGTAATTATATTATATTAAGCGATACACCCTGACTTTGACAAACGGGATGAACAAAGTAAAAGGTTGCGAATTTTTATTTCCAAGAATATTCTAAAGAAAATTATTTTAAACAAAGGTTACAGTACCTGAATGGAGACAAAAGTTTACGCTACAGAAATATTTTTAGGAGACGGTTTTCAAGATAATTCCAAGATCAACTTAATTGTTTTCAACGAGAATGGGTATTTAAATCTAAAGATACTTTTTATGCTGAAAACTGAAGGACCGTTTAATTTTGTATGAAAGGTATTGGAGTTTCTTTTTAAACAAATAATTTAGAAGATATCTGTATTTTAATCTTGTTATAATGGAACTGAACAAACAGAACAAATCTCGAAAGTACTAATCACTCAAAATCCTAACCTATCTAACCTAATTTACCTTCTTTACTCAAATTCGAGATTGTCTTATACGTATATGCGTATATTCCTCTCACTTGAACCCAGGATCTTCTGATTCGTCAAAAATGTACTTTCCAATGTACTTTTTTATTACCTGAAAAGAACCAATATTTACAAAGTTTGAGCTAAACCGCAGCATGGGCGCTTTCAGAAGGACAACCCAACATCTCGCTCAGGACTTGCGACTCGAATGGAATTTATAAATTCCACCGGTTCGCGCATATCATTTACATAAATTCCAACTTGTACCGGTGCAAACGGCGTGATACGTAATTTACATAAATTATATTTGTACACATTAGTTCGTTGTCCATTGAAATCTGAATACGACAAAATCTGGGAATGTTACATAGGGCGACCTCGGCTGCAAGTTTTAACATATGGCGGTTACTATAGCGCTCCATAGTGATGAAAGAACTGACAGACAACAGATGCTTCACGCGAAGCCTAGGATGCGTATTAATAATTGCTTTCGTTGCTCGAGTAAATTACGTGTATGTCGATGAGCGTGACCTTGTGTTTTCTGGCAGAGGTTAGATAGCTTCCTGAAATATGTCATATCTCAACGAATCGCTAATGAACAGTCGCTTTTCTCGGCTCTTTGTTCCATCCTGACGTTCCACCGTGAAATGTCACTCTTTTTCTCCGCCGAAGAATGCGACGAGTCTCAAACTTCTCGTTTTTCACGCCATTCCATTAATCGAGATGCTTAAGCGGGCCGGAAGTGCAGCTGCATTTCGCGATGCACAATTGTGCCGTTTTATTACCCGACCGATAGGTCATTCTGGCCTGGAAGCGGAACGAATGCGCCGCTTTCGAGCGACCAATTATTATTTATGCATAAATACCGATGGCACAGCTGACTTCTATCTGCTATCAGTGAGACGGGAAAACAGGATACGACGGCGTTCGCCTGTTGCAAATTGGACGATGTCTCCGGTGTCTCTACCGGGCACACTAGAGCGGTAGTTAGCGTACACGTGGGTGGATAAGTGTGCGTTGCTGCAATCTTTTTCTATGACATGTTTTCGAGGACGGAAAACGTCTACTTAGGAGGCCAAGAATAGTCCGGTGAACGATGCATGTGTGCGTGTCAGATGCGGGCGGCGGCGCGGTGTCTACATTTTTAAGTGGCTATACGATTCGTGTAATTTGTCTCTATTCCGTCTATTCTGTCCATTCGTTATCTTTACGGTCCACTGACAAATTTATTGGCTTATTTATAATACCTCAGACGACGTGTCTCCCGCTTCCTCATTCGCAGATGCGTGATTCGTTAGATCCGACAAACGCGCCACTTTGATGCAGCAAGGCATTTTTGCAGATACACTTCGCATTATTTATTGGATTATTCGGAAAATAATTTCGGTTCTTTGCATGAAATCGAAAGACGATTTCGACGAATCTTAATAGCGACGAATTTTAATAGAAAGAAGATGTTTTTAATAGAAAGGAAATTATTCTGTTAAGCATTGGCCATTTTGTTCTAACATCTTTTATCATCTTTGAGGTAATAACATGATTCCACGCTCGTAGAACTTCTAGTCGTTGTTGGCAAAAAATTGAATTAAGTGGTCTCTAACATCTCCATTTGAATCGAAATTTTTATCATCCAAAAGAATTTTGCAATGATCGAAACAAGTGATGATCAAGTGGTGGTCAGATCAGGTGAATATGGTGGATGCGATAGCAAATCCCATTCAAGCGCCAACAGTTTCTGGCGAGTCATGAAACTTGTATGTGTCTGGCGCTGTCATCATGAAACACAACACCTTTTCTGTTCGTCAATTCTGGTCTCCTCTGCTTGATGGATTTATTCAATTTGTCCAATTGATGACAATACACATTCAAATCAATCGTTTGGTTGTTTGGTAACAGCTCAAAAAAAACCATTCCTTTCCAATCCCACCAGACAGCATCGCCTTCTTTTGACGAATATCAGCTTTCGATGTGCTTTGAGCTGGTTTATCACGTCCGCTCCATGATCTTTTGCGTTTAATATTGTTGTACACAATCCATTTTTTATCTCCAATTATGAGTCGCAGAAATGGATCGTCTTTTTCACGTTTCAACAGCAAATTGCAAATGGTAATATCGACGAATCAAATATCTTTCTTTAAGAATGTGTGGAACCCAAATATCGAGCTTGGAATCGAAACCAAGTTGTTTCAAATGTTCATGCACGGTCGAATTCGATAAATTCAATCTCTTAGCAATTTCTTGTGTTGTTAAGTGACGATTTGCGTCCATCAATACCTTTATTTGGTCTTTATCAACCTCGGCTGGCCTTCCAGAACGTGGTGCATCTTTCAGGTCGAAATTCCCAGAACGAAATTTCGAAAACCAATTCTGACACTTTCCAATTCTGGCGTTCAGTCAATACATCCTCTCCATACACGGCACACAATTTTCTTCTGCTCGCGCTGCATTTTTGCCTTTACTGTAATAAAAAAGCAAAATGTGACGAAAATGCTCAAGTTGATTTTCCATTTTTGACGCGACGCCAAACAAAACCAACTTGACAAAGCAACTTTTTTTCAAATGAAGCTTGAAATGTGCGTTGTAAAAATGTAAAATAATTTTCTGGTTTAGAATGCGGTTAACTGCTTAAAAAGTACCAACACCATCTATTTGAAAAAAAACCGGAGTTACTTTTCGGGCGATCCAATATTTGTCACGAAGCAGGAGCTTGATTTATTGTTTTCGCCATCGTAGGGTTTTACATCAGAGTTAACACAGCGCCGTGTTTCCAAGCGGATGGCTAGGAATTAAAATAGCAGTGGGTCTTGGATAAGAGTATTCCACAATCTGAGTGGGATATCTTTTCTTCTGCGCGGTTTTCCTCTGCATCCTCGATAACAGAAAAGCGAGTTAGATAACTCTTCTAACCGTGAATAAACCGCATGTAACTGCACGTAAAGAGAGTGATGACGATAATAATAATAGTATGTCGTTCCTTTTTTTTCCCGCACGTGGCAACGTGTCGCGATCCTGAATTAGATCTTACAGTCCCAAGGCTGTGCGACAAATAAAAACACGCAATTTGCGACTTGATTTTTATCAACTGGCAATACCAAAACGCGTATATTGCCGCTCACGAAGTGAGCATATTATTATTAATTCCAAGGAAATAACAGTTTGATCAATCGTTGACAAACTCTACTCCATTTAGCCCCAAAATGTACACTCTATCCCTCTCTAAGGCCTATTCCGAAGTCGGTTTCGGGAACTTTGTTTCTAGTTACAAGGATGGCGCAGGCCTTAAACTAATATAGATACGTTCCGTAACTGATCAATCGGTCACGCTTGGATCGGTCGCTGCTATGTACTATTTCTGTTTACAAACTTGGTGTTAGCTTGTAATGTTAGATAAGGAAATGGAATGTGTCTAGTTTAGTTTAAAGCCTACCAACCTACCCTTCTAAAACCAAAGTTTCCGAGAGCGATTTCGGAGCAGGCCTCTAGTTACAGCCCCACATCGAATATCTCCAGCGACAGACCACAAGGGACGACGGCCGGTATACGTCGCGAGTCGTGTCGCGAATAACCCGATCTTCATTCAGATCTCCCACCGCGCGCACGGTCTCTATGAAAACGGTCGTCGGTTTACTTGCAGAGGCGCTCGTGCACACAGGCCGCGCAGCGAGCCGCGTCCAGGAGGAGAAGTGTGAGAAGCTGAGATGCTCCTCCGAGACGTCGTTACAGCGAAAAGGTCTCTCGTCTCGGAAGCGGTCGAGATTTGCGCGAGTCGAAATTTCCGCGTCGTTCACGAAGAGCCGGGCAGCAGCCTCGGCGGGATTCTCTGAAGCTTCCTCGCGAGGACGGACAGTCGCGCTCTACCGAGTGAGCAGGAAACAAAGGGCGAGAGAGGGAGAGACGGAGGTGGAGAGACAGAAAGAGAGAAGAAACGCGTATGCGTCGCGGAGTGTCGAGTGGCTGGTGGTGGAACCGTGGTGCTGGGAGAATGTCGATCGGACGACAACAGGGTCGCCGGAACGAGAGGCAGTCGAGTGGAAACGGTGGTGGTGCGGCGGCCGGCAGCGGAATTAGGATCGTGAGGTGCCAGCTGGCGGACTAATGCGGTCCCGCGATGATCCGCAAGGACGAGACGGTGGTGGGCCCCAGGTGGAACTATGTAAGAGGCGCAGCGCGCGGGAGAGACGAGGTCGTCTCGCCGCCGGCGCGGCTCAGGTGCCACGTGGCAGAAGAGGTTGGCCTTATAGAGGGTTTATAGTTTGCGTAGGATAGACGATGAGCGTCGAGGTCGACACGCTGGAACTCGAGGTCTTCGAGGTGAGTCCTCAGCCCCTCTCGAGGACGCGACGAACGGAAGTCTCGCGGGCGGATGACTCGCCGGTATCTCCTCCGTCAGTGAGGAAATGTCGCGCGCCGGGAGGCCGGCGACTCGCCCTCGCGTCGAGGCGGTCGCCGGCGCGCGACGTTCGAATTCGCGGCTGTGTCACAATCTGGACGGAATGATTGCTTGACCTCTTGCTGTTTTCTCAAGTTCCTCCGGTTATATCATATGTGCGCGAGGCCGCGCCGGAATACTCGCTCGAACGTACCGCGGAAATCCACATCGGGATTCTGCCCTTTCTGTTCTTTCTGTTCTGAAATAACTTCACGGTTCTGACGAGTCAGCGGGATCTTGTATTAAGTCATTAAGTCATTAGTGAAATGTCCGATTTCGAATCAAAGGTTTGGTTTATTATATCTCAAACCAGAAATAGTAAAACTAATCAAAGTATGCGTCTAAACTATCGACACAGTTCTGTCGTCTTAATGATAGCTTATTCATAGCAGCAGCGAAGAAGCCTGAAGAGCGAGTGACGATGAAATCGCGGCAGGCGTTTTCCACAGCTTCTTGAGAATTAAATATTTTTCCTTGCAAGAAGTGGTCCAGTGCCTGGAAGAAGTGGTAATCAGTTGATGCAAGGTCTGGTGAACACAGTGAGTGACGGAGAATTTCCAAGTCCAGCTCTTATAGTTTGAGCAATGTTGTTTGTGCGACATGTGGTCGAGCGTTGTTTTGCAAGAGGATTGGCCTGTCTCGATTGACCAATCTCGGCTGCTTTAATCGCAAGCATTCTCATCATTTCGTCCAGTTGCTTACAGCAGACATCCGCTGTAATCGATTGACCAGGTTTCATGAAGCTGTAGTGGACAATATCAGCGTTGGACCACCAAACAGACACCATTAGCTTTCTTTTGTTAATATTCGGTTTCGGACTGTGTTTCGGCACTTCATCTATATCCAACCATTGCGCTTGCGATTGTCGAAAAGAATCCATCATCGCATGTAATAACATGATGTAAAAATGGTTCGCCTTTATGCCGTGATAGTAAAGAAAGGCAAACTTCGAGACGATTTCTCTTCTGACGTTCGTTTAATTCATACGGAACCCATCTATCCAGCTTCTTTACCTTGCCGATTTGTTTCAAGTGATCCAAATCCATTGTTGGAATAGTAACGTAAAACCTTGCTGCTAATTCACGCGTAGTTTGAGATGTATCCGCTTCCACTACAGCTTTTAGCTCATCATTATCCACCTTGGTCTCGGATCGCCCAAGTGGCTCATTTTCAAGATTAAAATCGCCAGAATGAAACTTCTCCAATCATCGACGTACTGTGCGTTAGCCACATCTTCACAAAACACTTCGTTGATATCTCAAGTTGTTTGCGCTGCATTCCACGATGGAACTCATATTCGAAAATTACACGAATTTTTAGCTTATCCATGGTTACACAAAAATTGCTGTAACAAAGACAATTCGAAAGATAATCACAAACCAAAACATGTGCTTGAAAGAGTAGAGATGATGTACCTTCACAACAACAGAACAATCAAGAACCTGTAAAAGTGAAATGTCAAAGATATCAACTGTCGAACTTAGTACTTAAGTAAATCGGACATTTCATACTTAATGACCTAATATCTTCCCTTCTGCAATTTTATGCGAATCATGTGAGGATTTGGACGAATGTTTCTCTCGTTACTCAACAGTCTTCTCCACTGCGTAGGAGAGGCACGATGGTGTCTGCGAGGATAGTTATCTTGCACACTGTCATTAAAATTTGCGTTGTTGCGAACATAACATCGTGATTACATGATCTCTCTCAGCGTATAATAGCGATTACATCACTAAGTGTAATCGCGTAGTTACAACAGTTGGTTACACAATACAGTAAAAGGAAAAAGAAGTATGGTAAAAAGTTAAGCATGATTTCCGATAGAAGCAAGTGACATTCTTCTCAAAAACAACAAGGAGAATCTGTCAAGTTTTCGTTGTCAAGATATGCAGGTTGTTGCAATTTTGCAATGACACTGGAAACATGCACGTACGCGTAGAAAAGATTCATTCGACCCTCTTCATGCTAGTGAGACGCGCGTAGGAGATTTTAATTTCAGCCGGTGCCAAGTGATCGATGATACAATAGTATTCGCCGGAGGGGTAATTTGTTTTCCCGACTGCACAACGCCAAGGCTAAAGAGTTACGCAACTCTCTCTCGATACCATGCAATGGACTTCCGTTCACTGGCCCGCGTGCCGTTTGACAAGTAATGCGCTTTGAACGTGACTTTGTCAGCGCGAGTCGAGCCATTACTGAGCAGAAACACAGATCTTTTGAGGTATTTCAATTTCGTAACGCGGACGCATTTCCATCCTCATCCACATTTCACATCCCTGTCACGTGTTATTCATATTGGACAGTCAGGCCGTTCACATTTGTCGACAAGCGCAAGTACGTGCTTTCAATCGATGCGGCGCAATAATTGATTAGCTTCGTAACGGACCGATATAACCGCTCCAAGTATCTTAACCCTTGGTGTGGCATACTTTTCTTTACCTCACGCATCTCCGTGGAATCTCGCATTTCTGTTTTCTGAATCGCCGATCACAAATCTGAAAATTCAAAAATTTCAAAAATTCAAAGTGGCAAATTCAACATGACTGTCGTATAAAGTAAATTTGTATAAGTCTGAATAAATGTAAATCAAATACACGAAATAAGGATTTTTTTCGACGTTAATTACGAGTTTTATGTCAGATTACAAAATTCATTCGAGTAACTTGTTTATAAAAGAAAGTCTCGTATGAAAAAAATTCTGGAAAAAATATATGTTGTACGTCATGTGAAGAATATTCAGTAAATTTTTCAGTCTCTAACCTTGAATATTTTACAAGAAATTAAATCTTTAAAAACCGCTTTTCATCTTTATTTCTTTATAAATAATTAAAAATGAACTGGATGTGAAAGTGAATTGGATGTGAAAGCCATAGGAAACATGAAAAATAAGTAATATAAATCAAATACACGATATCAAAATTTCAATTGTTAACTCAAATTGTTAATTATGAATCTTATATCAAATTTACCAAATTCATTCAAGTAATTTATAAAAAAGAAATTTAGCATGCGAAAAAATCTGAAAAGAAATATGTATTATATTTTAATATGTTAACATGAAAGATATTCAGTAAAATTCTCAGTCTCTAATCTTCAATACTTTCCAAGAAATTAAATAAAAAAAAATTTTTTTTCAACTTCACTTATTTATAAATAACTAGAAATGAACAATTGGATAAAACCATGGGAAACATCTAAAGTAAGTATTAATATATCAGAAAAATGGGAGATTATATTCATTTTCATTGAACTGCAAAAAATATCGTAAAAATGAAAGAGAACAAGATGGTCAATATACTTGCTATTGTCACACAATGAGTTAATCACGAGGGGTTAATCGCGCGTATCCGCAGATTTTTACAAAAGACAACGCGATAATTGTACGTGATATGAATCTCCGCAATATACAGAGTGTATAAAAAGTACCGGGACAGTGAAATATTTCGAAAATTAAGCATTTCAGAAAAAAATGTTTCAGACAAAAATTGTAAAGTTTCAAATTTTAATGACAGCGTGCAAGATAACTATTATAAAACAATTGTATCATTTTGTTTACAGATGACGCCACTTTCGAGATATTCACTGATCATTACTTTTCTTAAGTAGAAATCCTAGTTTTTTATTATATTATCTTTTTCTATCAATTAATCTCAACAACTTTTGTCTGAAACATTTTTTTTATTTGTCTAATATTTTTTGAAATGTTTAAGGAAAACTTGATAACTTTTTCAATATTTAATTTACGATATCTCGCTAACTATTTGTCGGAAGAAAAAGTGGTACCAGACTGTTTGCTCTATTTGGTCGCAAAAATATATTGTTACAATAACGCTCTGACTTTTATCAATTTGATTATTTTGAAATTTCCAAAGGTCCATAAGTTAATTAATTGATAGAAAAAGATGATGTAATAAAAAATTGAGATTTCCATTGAAGAAAAGTAATGATCAATGAATATGTCGAAAGTGCCGCCATCTGTAAATAAATTGATATAATTTTTTGTTTTATGTCCTTGAAACGATACAACTGTCGTCTGAAACATTTTTTTCTAAAATGCTCAGTTTTCGAGATATTTCGCCGTCCCGATACTTTTTATATAACCCTGTATAACTTTCGAATGCAATTCCTGTGGACATTTAAGTTGCGAAGGAAATTACACTCTTAACAATTAAGATCGTCACTAAGAGGATGAAAGAGACGTATCGTTTCGTGGAAGCTATGAGTAGCTCAGTTGGTAGAACAGTCGCCCGGCAAGCGGGAAGGTCCGCGTTCGATTCCCAGTACGCAACTTCCGTGATCCCCGATAACTTTCTGTCTCTGCCTTCTCTCTCTTTACATCGCTTTACATTGTAAAGCTTCGATTTCTCCTGATATCGGTGACAGAGAACACTTTCCTATATACTCTTCCTTATGGAGGCAAGTTCAATCTCGTTGCACGTGGAATGCCATCGCGTGTAGCTTGAAACCAGCTTGCAAAAGCAAATCGGAGCAATTTTGAGCCAGATAGTCGAATCTTCGTACAATTTGGTCAAGCAAGCTCCGTACACACACATTTTCAGTTGGAATACGAGTGGAAATACGAAGACACATTTGTGAATATTTCAAAAAACTGCAAACGAAAATTTCATATACAGGGTGTCTAAAAAAAGGGTTCAAGAGTTTAAGGGCAGATAGGACTTATAAAGTGGAGAAAAAAGGTTCTAATAAATACGGGTCGAAAAGTTAATATTGTTGGACCTATAAACAATTATGTATTTTAATTAAAGCAAGTTATTTACTCATTTCTGGTATGGTGTTTTCTCAGATATAATTTGTTTATGTATCATTTATAAGAGAGTATCATGCTTCAAAGAAATCTATAAAAAAACGTCTCTTCGCTCTCGCTCGAAATAGAAACGAACATTTATTTTCTTTCCATTTATATACATACTTTGAACGGTGAACAGTTGGAAAGGGCTATCACAAAGTTTTCATAGTATAAGAATGACACCTATTACTTTAATCAAGAAATGCAGAGGAATGCATTTCATGTATGCACCAGAAGCGAGTGAGTCGCTTGCTTTAATTCAGATAAATAATTGTCCATAATTTTGAGAATATTTAATAATTTTCCAGCCCATGTTTATCAGCATCTTTTTCCTCCGTTTCCTCCGTAAGTACTATCTACCCTTGAAGTCCTGAACCCTTTTTTAAACATCATATAATGCAAAACATACAATAACGGTCTACGTTAACGAGGACAAAACACTATTTAGAGAAAACGAATAACAACGTCCGAAGATAAGCATAATTCGGCTCATCCGGATGTCGAGAGAAAACTGCGCTGAGTGCAAAAATCTCGCGCACACACGATGGCAAATACCTCTCTCGCGTTTGTCCTCTCGCGACTCTTGTTTATATTCGAATGGTCCACTTTGATATATCCGCCACTCCACGTGCGTGTATCGCAGTCCACTCATCAGCGTAGACTTTGTTATATACTTTCTCGCGCGCGCGTCATCCGAGGAGGGAGAGAGAGAGAGAGAGAGAGAGAGAGAGAGAGAGAAAAAAGAGAGAGAGAAAGAGAGAGGGGCAGAGAGAGAAATCAAATGCGGCACTACGGTCGTCGCGGCTTATAATCCAATAAAACTCCTATAGACGTTCAACTTTACGTCCATCGACATGCTGAAGCTTTATCGCGAGTACCGGAAAAGTCTCCATTTGCTTTGTCCGTGACACGTTTTCACGCCCGCATGCCGCACGATCTATACGCATACGCGCCGTTGCTTTTCACGCGCTTTCTAGAGCACGCGCGATCTTCGGGAAGGGTGCTGGTTTTTTTTTTATTTGTTTTTATTTTGCGCAGCCTACATGGATAAATCGCGCCAGGAAGTAGTACACTCGGTGCGCACAATCGATGTCAACGTACACGAAGAGTAAATATATCGCGGGAACGCGCGGTTATTTCGTAATTGAGGCGCACGCATATGCAAAGTCGAGTGAATTTTTTACCGAGCTCATTATCGCGCCTGTTTGTGATAAGGCCTCACCTACGTCCCGTTCTGTGTATATTGTGCGTGCGTGTGTATGTGTGTGTGTGTGTTATGTGTGTGTAGCGTCAATGATTGAATTAATCCCTTAGCTGTTGATGACAGCTGTTGATGATATCCACGTATTAAAAAAAAAAAACGTTTTTGACGTCATTGAATTAAAATTCGAAGTGAAATTCAAAATGGCGGATCTAATGCAGCTGAGCGAAAATTTGAAAAACCATTCGATTTGCACAGAAATCAGAATTCAAAGGTTCTTGATACCGCTGATTTGAAATTTTAAGATAAAAAGTCACGAATTCAAAATGGCGGTTTCGAGAAATCCTGAATAAAAATTTTTATAAGAACCGAACGAGTTTTTAGACGCTTGATCTGCCGTATTAAATTTGCCGTTTGAAATTTTGAAATTTTGACCTGAAATTCAGACTTAGCGACCTAATACAAATCCCTAGGGAGAATCTTGTTTATAATTTAAAATTAACTCAAATCTGAAGTAAAATTTAAAATGGTGAACCTAATACAACGGAGCGAAAATTCGAGAAATTGCTCGATTCGCATGAAAATCAGAATTTAAAGGTTCTTGATACCGCTGATTCGAAATTTAAGATAAAAATTCACGAGTTAAAAATGGCGGTTTCGGGAAATCTTGAATAAACATTTTTATGAGAATTGAACGAGTTTTTGGACACTCGGTCTGCCATATTGAATTGCCATTTTGAATTCTGAAATTTTGACCTGAGATTCAGACTTGGCGACCCAATACAAATCCCCAAAGAGAATTTTGTTTATAATTTAAAATTAACCCCATTGTCACAAGATCATCACTTTGAGCACGAGCTTTTTATCGTCCAACAGCTAAGCGGTTAATGGAAGTAGCTCGGGGCCCCACTTGGCATATTCTTTATACGGGAGCGAGATTCTCGCGTTGACACGATCACACTGCTGGTGGGAATATACGGCGTCGCGCAGGATGACGCCGGAGTCGCGGGGCTTCCTAAAGTGGCCGATTTATTTTTAAACGGCGCCGACAAACAAGATCTGCGGAGGTAGACGGCATCGCCTCTATTTTAACTCTATTTTCCACTGGGAGAAAGTATTAAAATGAATAGTTGCCGGGCGCCTGTGGCTAACAGACCTGCTATACAGCCCGGCAGAGGGTAGAATCGTTGTTCCGATCCAACCGCATACATCATTCGGCCAATTTGAAGTCGACTTCTCCCTTCTTCGGCGTAAGTTCGCGCGTTCATAATTTGTCGGCGGCTCCCGCGGAGCCTCTACGTTAGCCCAGAGGACGGGATCATCACCGTCGACGTTAATTCTCGGCTACGGCTGTACTCCTGCACTCCTTCTCGACCTCTTCCTCCTACCCACCCGATCCTTCTCTCACGGAAGACCCGCGTCACGGCGGCTTTCAATCGTCGCTTCTACCATGATTATGAACGATAGACACGAAAAAAGCGCATCTGCCATGCCAAACGGCGTGTCCTCGACCGATCGTTCCTACCTGTCCTTTGACGTACCGTGTCCGATAACGTGGGCGTTGATATCGCGCGACCGTAAGGTGAAGGACTGCGACGAGGCCGCCGCCGAGTCAGGGGATGCCGCGCGTCGTGGCGTCACGACCACGAGCACACCGACGACTGCGACGGTGACCACGACGACGACGTGTGCGTTGAGGAGCAGCGAGGATGGCCGCAGATGCTCGAACCAAGAAGCCGAGGACGACGACGACGGTGGTGGCGGCGGCGGCGACGGCGGCGGCGGTGGCGGCGGCGGCGGTGGTAGCAGCTGCGGAAACGGCGGTAGCCGCAGGAAGCGGAAGAAGCGGCGGAAAACGCGTAGCAGGCAGTTACAGCTGCAGCAGCCGCAGCTGGAGGTGACGGCCGGCGGGGGTGGTCAGCAGCGGTCGCACGCGGTGCTGACCCTTGCTTCGTCGTCCGACGAAGTCGAGGCAGTGGGCGAGTGCTCCAAAAGAGACTCGTCAAGCAGCCTAGGCGGCGGTAGTCGTCACAATACCCTGCGCGAGTCCCTGCTCACGGTGTTGGGCAAGCTGGTGATCTGGAAGGGCACCAGGTATCGCTCCGCTACCGCCGCCTCGTCCTCCTCGTCGGTGCCGCCGAATTCGCCGCCCCCCACTGAGTGCATCGGTCGTAGCACGTCCTTCTTCTCCAGCGGTGAGTTCTCACGAGCTCCGCTAGTTTTTCCTTACCTTCTCCCTGGAAAGTCGCGCTGCTGCCTTGAGTCAAGGTTCCTCCCGCACGGAGGGTCAACCTTTTAGCTGTTGTTAGTGGCGGAAATGTTCGCGGAAAGAAAGGTAGCCCAAATCCGCGCATTCTGAGAAAGAAAGAATATTACGGAGCAGTTGGAAAAAAGGATACTATATGATGTTTAAAAGAAGGATTCAAGACCTTAAGATTAGATAGTACTCAGACAATATTTTGTATAAAGAGGGAAATAGTCCTAATGAACATGGGTCAAAAAATGAATATTGTTGAAGTTATAAACAATTATTTATTTTAATTAAAACGAGCGGCTTATCCGCTTCTGGTGCACGGCTATACATGAAATGCATTCCTGCCATTTTTTTATTAGAGTAATACGGTCATAGGCGGCGCCAGAATTATTTATGCGGGTGGGCCATAGGTGGGCCAGCTTTTATAAGGACGGGCTATATTATATTATATATTATATAATTAATTTTTGTCTCTAGGAGAAATTAACTATGAAGATAGATTTAAAATTAATTGTAGAATTTTAATTATAAAAATAACTTCATATAAAAAAGCTGAAAACTTGGACAGCACATGTTAAAATTTTCTAAAACTTTATGGTGGGCCAAAGGGTGGGCCAGGGTCCACTCAGGCCTACCTTTGGCGTCGCCGCTGAATACGGTGTCATTCTTGCCGCACTGTGAAAACTACGATAGCTCTCTGCAACTGTTCACCGTCCATAAAGATATGTGACTAACAATTTGTTTGGTGAAGCGCCTGTGCAAATAGGAAGAAAATGGATGTTCGCTTACATTCCGAGCAAGAGCGAAGAGACACTTTTCTAGGAATTCCGTTAAAACATGATACTTTCGTTACTGATAAATGACATAGACAGATTACATCAGAGAATACAAAAACACTTGAAGCGAGTAAGTCACTTGCTTCAATTAAAATAAATAATTGTTCATTAATTTCTCGGCTCATGTTTATTAGGACTTTCTCTTCCATTTTGTGAGTACTGTCTGTCCTTAAAGTCTTATTCCTTTTTTTTTTAATACTCTGTATATTTTTGTTTTTGAGCTCGCTGAATTTAAATCCACTGAAAATTGAACCAAACGATTTTTTTAAATTTTTGCTCTGCTATTTTAGATCCGCCATTTTCAATTTTGTAATTTCATAAAAACATGCAAATATAGTATCCTGCTTCAATCGCCAATGTTATAAATATTATCTTTTGGGGGGGGAGGGGAATGCGCGGATATTTCTATCATCAACAGTTTGAGCCACTTTTCTTCCCACAAGTATTTCCGTCACTGGCTATGGTTCCGAAAAGCTCCAACTTCCGATTTTTATGAAAGTTGATAAAATTGTTCCAAATAGTCCCAAAATAACATATTTAGAAAGTTTTTTTGACGCAATTGAAAATTAGCTATGATACTGTTACAAAATAATGTTTTTTTGTGGTAGTTATATAGTTTAGCTCTCTTCATCTCTGATTTCGATGAAACTAGGTTTAATCAACGCGCTTTTGAAAGACAAACAACTTTTCTATCTGCAAAAATCGTCGTTTTCTATTGTAAAACGAAATATTCGCAAATAAATTGGAGTATTAGTTAGGTTAGGAAATTTGTCACACCGACGATATGCAGCGACACATACAGGGTGAGGAAAAAGTACCAGAACAGTGAAATATCTCGAAAACCAAGCATTTTAGAAAAAAATGTTTCGAACAAAATGATGTATGATTTCAAGAGGGACATGAAACATATCATTTTACAAATGGCATCACTTTCGAGATATTCGCTGATCATTATTTTTCTTAAATGGGAACTTCAATTTTTTATTACGGCGTCTTTTTCTACCAATTAATTTGAACAACTTTTATCTGAAACATTTTTTTATTTTTTGAAATATTTAAAGAAAACTAATTTTTTTCAATATTTAACGATATCTACTAACTACTACTACTAACTTACGATATCTTGCTAACCATCTGTCGAAAGAAAAAGTGGTACTAGACATTTTTGTTCTATTTCGTCTCAAGAATATATTGTTACAATAGCGCCCTGACTTTTGTTAACTTACTGATTTTTGGAAATTTCAAAATCATCAAATTAACAAAAGTCAGGGCGCTATTGTAACAATATATTTTTGAGACCAAATAGGGCAAAAGAGTCTAGTACCACTTTTTCTTCCGACAAATAGTTAACGAGATATCGTAAGTTAAATATTGAGAAAGTAATCAAGTTTTTCTTAAAAACATCATCTCAAAAAATATTAGGCTAATAACTTTTTCTTCACCCTATATATGCGCCGCGGTCTCACGTGGGTCCTTTAGCATCTTCACAAACGGCCGATGCAGATCTAGGGAATCAGAAGGAGAATCGGAAGGTAGAGGAGTAAGGCTCCCCCTTTCTGTAAGATATAAAGCAACATGCAAATAATAAAAACGAAACCTGCTTTGGTCAGGGTCAGATTAGGTTATGTTTAGTGCAAGGAATAAAGCGATTAGTACGCACAGCCGCCATCGCTGCCCCCGAAGAGGGTACCCCCCAGGAGTTTTAGTCAGTGCGAGTCCGACATAACTCTCGATCCCCCCGGGGTCGAGGGTACCCATGAGGGGTTTCTCCTGGGTCATAAAAAAAAAGGTTAGGTTAGGTTATGTTAGGTTAGATATGGTATGGTATGGAAATTAATAAATTCATTAATCAGTAATATCAAAGTTAATTTTCATTTTGCGTCGAAAAACCTTCTAGATATGTTATTTTGGGTGTATTCGGTACAATTTTAGCAGATTTCATGGAAACCAGAGGTCGGATCTTTTCGGAACTACATCCCCGCCATTAACAGCTACAGGGTTAAGCGCGGTCGTCCCCATGGCATCGGTACGCATCAGTCGGAGCCGCGCTGTATAAAGACAGACGTAACGCGGGGACGATTGATGTGTTGATTCAGCGGCGCTCTTTCGCGGAATAAGCTCGCGATAATTTACGATTCAGTGTGCTAGCGCGAACGATCGACGTGCGACGTTGATACTCGGGGATATATGAGACACATGCGCACGTGTATATTTGGCTTCCCGTCTAATACGAAATTTCGCCTCGTGCTCGCGGAGGAGGCTCCTCCGTTTTATTACGTGATCAAGCGTTACTTTATAACTTTTCTACTCTATTCGGTGCCTCTTATTTTGGGAAGACTGAGCGCCAAGCTTCCTCCTTGATATACAGGGTGTTCCGTAAGTCGAGGTCAATCGCTCGAGAGATGAATGGGGAATCACAAACAAGAAAGAAAGTTGATACAAACATAGGTCCAAAAATGCGTTGTTTTCGAGTTATCGCCATTTTTATGTTAAAATTTGAAATTGCTTTGCTTTCGAATTTTTTTGGTTTTGGAATTTCGATGGTTTTTATGAGTTTCAAAACACAACTAAAGTCAAATAAAAGTTGCGGGCTGCTTTAGCACTACCCAGGATGCACCGCGTGGAGGTACAGTCCGCTTAGCAGCCCTTGGCAGAGATCAGGACCCCACAGTTCGTCACTCCTGTGGTAAATACCACAGTGTTATTGTACAAGCTTTGTTTTCGAACACCTCATATAATTTTTACGTTCACACACACACACACACACACACACACACACACACACACACGACAGAGAGGGTTTGGAGTCACTAAATACCACAGAAGTGACGAACTGTGGGGTCCTGATTCTGCCAAGGGCTGCTAAGCGGGCTGTACCTCCACGCGGTGCATTCTGGGTAATGCTAAAGCAGCCCGCAACTTTTATTTGACTTTAGTTGTGTTTTGAAACTCATAAAAACCATCGAAATTCCAAAACCAAAAAAATTCGAAAGCAAAGCAATTTCAAATTTTAACATAAAAATGGCGATAACTCGAAAACAACGCATTTTTGGACCTATGTTTGTATCAACTTTCTTTCTTGTTTGTGGTTTCCCATTCATCTCTCGAGCGATTGACCTCGACTTACGGAACATCTTGTATACAGTCATGACTTGGCGCTGGCCACGTGCTCGCTCGCTCGCGCGTCTCGTTTTCGTCGCCACGCGCCCTGTTCGTGCTTGTGCGCCACACTTTGCGACGGAGTTGTCGGAAACAATAAGCGTACGAAAGTTACGCAACGGCCATGGCGATCGGTGTTACCGGTTTTGATGCAAGTTTCAGCGGCTCGTGTCGTTTCCACGAGTATCAAGGTCGCGCGCGCACCCCGCTTGTGAGCACCCTTGTGGGTGACTTGTTAAAATCCTTAAATAAAACAGTAATATAACACGCGTACTCCCGCGAACATGAGACGGGAAGATGTGTGCCCGCTATGTCATAAGATCGATTCCATCGTTTTTCGTGGTGGTAGTGGTAGTATAGCGGTAATAACAGTAGAGTAGTAGTTTAGTAATAACAGTAGTAGTGGTGGTATAGTACGCCCAGCGGTATCCCGTCGAGTTTATGTCACACTTGGCATGACGATTAATAGTTTATCCAGTTACATGGAACTGCCGCAGTAGGCATATAACAAGCCGGTGTAAAGCAATGCACTTGACTATAAGAACGATTAACTGCGAAAAAGATCAACGGTCATAGCGCGAGCATTGTAGGTCTTCCGTTTCACGGCTGTGCTTACCTATACGTAACGCGGAGCTAATGGACGACTGAAATCATTTCGTTCTCGTGCACGAAATCGTGCCGAGAAGCATCGTCTTCCTCGTCGAAATAGTTTGTCGTGATAATCCCTTCCTCCCTTTCCGAGATACGGTATGGATGGCGAAAGTATGCCTGTATCACAGGCATGATTTGAGATGAGAATCATTGATGACGCGTTGATGACGTTGTTTTATGTTCTTATAAGTGTATAGACGCGCGCGATAAATGTCTTATTCATCGCATTATCTTTGCAGAAACAGAGAGGCGGATTCGCGCCAACAATCGGGAGTACAACTCACAGTTTAATTATGCGGTAGGTGGACAATTTTTCTCTGTCTTATTAATTCGCCGCGCAAGGGAGCTAAGTGCTTCGAGAAAAAAAAAAAATTGAAGCCGGTCGAAGCAACTATCGTAAGATAGATATGTCGTACAAGAGACGAGTCTCTCGAGCGTTTTTTTGTTCTTTTGCAGAATAATTATATCAAGACGTCCAAGTATTCGGTTCTGACGTTCCTACCGTTAAATTTGTTCGAGCAATTTCAGCGGCTCGCCAACTTTTACTTCCTATGCCTGTTGGTGCTTCAGATGATCCCCGCCATATCCTCCTTAACCCCTATCACCACAGCAATACCGCTTATAGGGGTACTCACGCTCACTGCCGTCAAAGATGCCTATGACGACTTTGTAAGTATCTCGTAATTGGTGCGTCCTCATTTTTTTCTTACTTTTTACGAAAACACAAAAACCAAAAGATCTCTCTTCTCTGTATTAATCCTTTGAGTGGCATACTTTTTTTTCTATCTGACAGATTCCTGCAAAATCTGGCATTTCTATGCTTTTTGGCTCTCTGATTACAAATCTGAAGTCAGATTTAAAAAATTCAAAATAGCAGATCCAATATGGTTGGCGTATAGAGGTAAATTAGTGTAAGTTTGTATAAATATAAAGCAGATACGCGATACAAAGGTTTCTCGTTGATTATGAATTTTGAGTCAAATTTATGAAGTTTACTAAACTATTTTGCTTACTTATAAAAGAAATATGGTGCGTATGAGAAATTCTGAAATAAAATATATATTATACTCCGATATATGAAACATATTCAGTAAAATTTTCAATCTCTAATCTTAAATATTCTCCAAAAAATTAAATTTTTTTTTAGAAATCACTTCTTTTTTAAACTTTATTTAAATAATTAAAAATGAATAGTTGGATATAAAAATCATAAAGTACATGAAGTAAATGAGATGCACAATATAAAGATTTTTCAAATCGTTAATTACGAATTCCATATCAGATTTGTAAGATTCATTTAAGTAATTTGTTTATTAAGAAAAAATCAAGTCTGTGAAAAATTTTGGAGGAAATATACATTGTATCTTGACGTGTGAAGAATATTTAGTAACATTCTGAGCTTCTAATTTTAAATATTTTTTAAGAAATTAAATTCTTTTTAATCGCTTTTTTGCAATTTTATTTATAAATAATTGAAAGTGAACAATCGAATATAAAAACCATGGGAAACATGTAAAATAGGTATTAATATATCAGAAAAATGTGAGATCATACTTATCTTCATTAAACCGTAAACAGTACGTAAAAAAATTGAAGAGAATAATTACCACTGCTGGTAAATCATCACTGCCATACAAAGGGTTAATGTTGATGTAATATCGAGTTGCAGAATGTGTCTCTTGCAAAATTTAGATTTAAAATTTATTTTAAAATTTATTTAAAGATAAAATATTTGTTTTTTAAACGTAGAATGTTACTGGCACTCTGCCTCTCTCTATTCCGAAACTCGACGAGACAATTGAATTTTCAGCAACGGCATAGCAGCGATTCTCAAGTAAACAATAGGAAGTCCCGAACACTGCGGGGTACTAATCTTCGTGAGGAGAAATGGTCGCAGGTCCAGGTGGGCGACGTAATCAGAATGGAGAACGACCAGTTTGTCGCTGCGGACGTTCTCCTTCTGACAACGAGCGAACCGAACGGTCTCTGTTACATCGAAACGGCAGAATTGGACGGGTATGGTCCATCAAGTCATTCAGTCATTTTAACCTTCATCCGGATATATAGAAGAGCCTTTGCGACTCTTTGATTAAAAATCAAATATAATGAATGAAATAGTAAATAGCCTATCTTATATATTAACGTTATTATTTTATTAATTAAATAAACTGAGTTAAAAGAAGTAAAATACTTTAGAATTATCAATTTCAGCTATTCTGTATTGAGAACCTCCGAGGTTCTTTCGCCTCCGTTTGTGTTATAAAAGCACCCTATTCTGATAAAAGTTGAGATACAATTACACGTGTTTTTTTGAGTAAGGGTTGCAATAATAAAGTGTGAAAAATCTGTTACAGAGAAACAAATCTGAAGTGTCGCCAGTGTCTGCCAGAAACTGCCGAGATGATGGATAATCACGAGTTGATCGGCCAGTTCGACGGCGAGATCGTTTGCGAAACCCCTAATAATTTGTTGAACAAATTCGATGGAACGCTCACGTGGAAGGGACGAAAGTAAGTACGGACGAAGCAGAACGCAGAAACAAGAACCGTGTGTATCTGCACAGAAAGCCGCGATTCCTGCTTGAAACTGGAAATATCTGGTTCTTGTTTTGTAGAGCATCGAGTTTACTCAACTTATTGTTTATCAAACCACGTTCACGCGTTCTTAACGTCCCTCGCGAACGTTTTGCAGGTACGCATTGGATAACGACAAGATTATTTTACGGGGTTGCGTGCTCAGGAACACGCAATGGTGCTATGGCATGGTGATCTTTGCGGGCAAGGATACCAAACTGATGCAAAACTCAGGGAAGACCAAATTTAAGAGGACCTCTATAGATAGGCTGCTGAATCTCCTCATCATCGGGATAGTGTTTTTTTTACTTTCTCTGTGTTTGTTCTGTATGATCGGCTGTGGTATTTGGGAGAGCCTTTTGGGCCGTTATTTCCAAGTGTACTTGCCGTGGGACTCGTTAGTGCCGAGCGAGCCCATCGCCGGTGCAACAGTGATCGCCCTGCTCGTGTTCTTCTCGTACTCTATCGTGCTGAACACAGTGGTGCCAATCAGTTTGTACGTGAGTGTCGAGGTAATCCGGTTCGTTCAGTCGTTTTTGATAAATTGGGATGAGGAGATGTACTACGCGCCCACGAATACGCACGCTAAAGCTAGGACTACTACGTTAAACGAGGAGTTGGGCCAAATAGAGTACATATTTTCCGACAAGACCGGGACATTGACGCAGAACATAATGACTTTTAACAAGTGTTCTGTGGCAGGCAAGTGTTACGGCGACGTCATCGACGAGGTCACCGGCGAAGTCATCGATTTGAGCGAGGTGAGTCGTTTGTTCCGTCTCTTGCGAAGATCCCTCGACTCGATGCTGACGACAGGGTACGTGTTGCAAAACGTTCACTTTCTTCACATTGTCTATTTACGAAATTATACCATTATTTCCGAGATATGACAGAGCAATACGTTTGTCCCACATTATATATATATATATATAGCTACGCTTTCAACGCTGCGTGAAAACAATATTATTAGTCACACGCTTCCGCTAAGAAGTTTTTGTTATATTGTATAGATTATGTATAGAATATTGTACAGAGAAGAATCACATATACTACACCACAGATATGTAAAACATATATATATATATATATATGTGTGTATATATATATATATATATATTCAACGTCGAGAAATTTGTGTCGTCACATATTTTTTTCTGATAGTCTCGTCTCAATTCGTTACATCCGATAAGTAATAGTCACACGAAGAGAATTGGTAGAGAAATCTCCTGACATCGCGAAACATCTCAACATAGTTCTACATTGCACGTGTCCTCGTGTGCGTTGTTTACGCAACAATCTGTTGAATATTTCTAGGTGTCGATACACACCTCGTCATGATTTACTTTCTACTGTCGTGACTACTTATGTTTTCGTTCAGTTACGTGCAAAACACATAATTTCAATACACGTGGTTGTACCTTTGCAAACGATTTCATATACATCACTTAGCATGTGTGTGCTGCATGTAGACGGACAGAGCCATTCGAACGCCGACGATGCGGTGGAGAAGTGGACAGGAATTCGTACGTCCAGTTTATACACCACTAAGTGGTCCAAATGTACGTCTTCTGGAACAAGCAGACAGAGTATCCAACACTACGCCGGAGCCTGGCATCAACGGCAGCCCAAAGATTCCACACAAGCCTTCAGTACGCATGTTGATAATTAGCACTTGTCTTGTCACGATCACACGACCTGTACTCCCTCATATACGATAGCGAAATTAGTTCATCCCCTTTGCTTATACTTCTGTAATACATACGAGGGTAGTCCCAGAAGTACCGGACCTGACGTATAGATAGCGGTTGTTGTTCGAAAAGAATGACTATGGTAGAAAATACCAACCTTATAAAGCTTAAGTTTGAAGTTTGACGACGCTACGTTGTTTAGTATTTATTTGGCAGCCATCAATAGTGAACGCTCTCAGTGAATTTGTAAATATGGAAAAAATTGGTCATCGTTATGTGATACAATACTTTCATTTGAAAGGCTTCAGTCCAACCAATATCAAAGCGGAGCTAGATTCTACTCTGGGGGAGTCTGCTCCTTCGTTTACAATAGTAAAATATTGGGTGGCAGACTTTAAACAAGGCCGTATGAGCTGCTAAGACAAACATCGCAGTGGTCGACCAAATGAGGTGACCACGCCAGAAATGACGAAGAAAATCCACAAAATGGTATTGGATGACCGTCGACTGAAAGTGCACGAGTTAGCAGACATGGTAGGCATTTCAAAAAGTGCTGTACATCGCATATTGACTGAAAATTTGGACATGAGAAAGCTGTGCGCAGGATGGGTGCCGCAATTGGAACAAAAACAGCGTCGTGAGGATGTTTCAATCGAGTGTTTGGCGAAGTCTCGCAGCAATAAAGCCGAGTTTTTGCGTCGATTCATAACCATGGATGAAACATGGGTCCGTCACTTCACACCTGAGACGAAGCAACAGTCAAAACAATGGACCAAGGTGGCTTGATGACTATTTTGAGGAGCTCGACGATTCCCGCTATAAACAGGGTATCGAAGCTATTGAACATCGCTGGGAAAAGTGTATTGAGCTAAAAGAAGACTATGTAGAGGAATAAAAATATTTTTTCCCAAATTTTTTGTGTTTTCTTTGTTAGGTCAGGTACTTCTGGGACTACCCTCGTATATATATGTATTACAGTGTATTACACTTCTACTTCCAATATCTATCGACATCTATATCACTTTTATTCGTTCGTCGTTGCATTCCTACACACACATATACACACACACACACGCTGTATATTTTTGTGTGTATGCATGTATATGTACATATATAACATCACCCTCTATAAATCCAAAGATTTCCATCTTTATTGCTGTTACTAGAACCGAATAATCATATCGGGTGTCTCTGGATTGACTTAGGAACCGTACTTGTACCCCACATATATTCCCTCTTCTTCCCTCTCTCCCCTCTCCCTCTCTTGCACGCTAAGGATTTACATCATGCTACAAATTAGACAATTACAAATGCGTATGCTTTGCATCACTTCTATCTATCTTCTCTATCGTACTACTAACGCGTTAAGGCTAATTTCTCTTTTACTATTTTCTTGCAATCTATGTGTGGTTTAAGGATAATGATATTCAACTAACAGTATGTACATCCCACGTCTTTCAACGAATCTATTTTTACGGAGACAAGGTATATATATAACCCTCCTTCTCGGTCAGGATTTCTGGCTTCTTTCGACCGGCGTTTTTTTCTTTCTTCTTTTTTTATTTTTTTTCTCTTATAACGGGGTTTCCCGATTTTCGTTCATGAGATTAATTTTCTTCCTTCCATATTAACTCCACGTCTGTGTGCTAGGCAAGACAGAATTCCTGAAAACCACGATTATTCGTACGTTTTACAGACAATGCCACCTCTGGATTTCTCGTTTAACAAGGATTACGAGCCAGACTTCAAGTTCTACGACCCTGCGCTGCTCGAGGCTGTAAAACGAGAGAATCAGGACGTCCACAGTTTTTTCAGACTATTGGCTCTCTGTCACACTGTTATGCCAGAAGAGAAAAATGGCAAGATCGAATATCAAGCACAGTCGCCGGACGAGGCTGCCCTGGTATCCGCCGCTAGAAACTTCGGTTTTGTTTTTAAGGAGAGATCGCCAAATAGTATAACCATCGAGGTAATGGGGAAGAAGGAGATTTACGAACTACTCTGCATCCTGGACTTTAATAATGTACGGAAAAGAATGTCGGTTATCTTAAGAAAAGATGGACACTTACGATTGTATTGCAAAGGCGCTGATAACGTAATCTACGAGCGATTGAAAAAGGACAGCGATGAGATAATGGCGAAGACACTGGACCACCTAAATAAGTTCGCAGGTGAAGGCTTAAGAACATTGTGCCTTTCTGTGAGGGACTTGGACGAAAGTTTTTTCAATAACTGGAAACAACGTCATCAGGAAGCAGCGTTAAGCCAAGAAAATAGAGACGACAAATTAGATGCGATTTACGAAGAGATTGAGAAAGATATGTCGTTATTGGGTGCTACTGCTATCGAGGACAAGTTGCAGGATGGTGTGCCGCAGACCATCGCCAATTTGGGTGTCGCTGGTATTAAACTTTGGGTGTTAACCGGCGATAAGCAGGGTAAGTTTGAAGTATGCGAATGTTATACAGAGAGAGTGTTCTAGTTTAAATAAGGTAGGCAAAAATCTCGAAAAATATGAAAGATATTGGGAAACATTTCAGACAAAAGTTGTTAAAATTAATTGGTAGAAAAAGATGATATAATAAAAAATTGGGATTCCATTAAGAGAAGTAATGATCAGTGAATATATTGAAAGTGGCGCCATCTGTAAACAAAATGATATAGTTGTTTTAGGTCCCCTTTGAAACTATGCAATTTTTGTTTGAAATGTTTCTTAGTATCTTTCATATTTCTCGAGATTTTTGCCTGGCTCATTTAAAATGAGGCATCCTGCATTTAAACGTCATATATATTTACACATGCGAACACTCACTCACTCACTCACTCACTCATTCACTCACTCACTCACTCACTCACTCACTCACTCATTCACTCACTCACTCACTCACTCACTCACTCACACTCACACACTCACACTCCCACCCTCCCTCCCCTCCCTCCCTCCCTCCCTCCCTCCCTCCCTCCCTCCCTCCCTCCCTCCCTCCCTCCCTCCCTCCCTCCCTCGCTCCCTCGCTCGCTTACTCTCACCGGACTTTGCAATTTTCTACAGAAACGGCCATCAATATCGGATACTCGTGTCAATTGCTTACGGATGATCTCACGGACGTCTTCGTGGTGGACGCCACCACTTACGACGGCGTGGAAACGCAGTTAATGCGGTATTTGGATACCATTAAGACTACTTCGACCCAGCAAAACCGGCCGACACTCTCCATCGTCACATTCAGGTGGGACAAGGAAAGGTCAGGCACATGAAAGAGACGGAGTACCAATCTATCAATTTCTTCTATTTTCCAATTCCAATTAACGCATTCATTAAGAGGAAAGAAGAAAAAAAGAGAGAGAGAATAAGAGAATTATCTTTCATATATACTGAATGTGGCACTATGTTTCATATAATGCTTTCTATGTCTTATAGTCGTGGCTAAGAATTGATCGTACTTAACTGCAGGAGAGTCGTGTGCGCTTCATACCCAAGCTAGCGAGTCGCGTAACGCATTCGTTTAAATTTATAATGACTGATCTAGGAAATGTATGAAAGAAAGATATCCATTGATTATCACTTCCGCATAATATAAGGATGCGATGACGAATTATATACCTTTTGCTAGTATTATGCGCTTATAATTCATCGTATATATGCGCACTGATTTTACATATTTTACCTTCCACTTGTCTATCTATCTCGCGGAATCTTCTCTTCGAAACAGTTGCATGCGTATATGATAGTACTCTTACCGTATCTTCTCTATTAAGAAAAGAAAAGGAAGAGCATTTTTTACGAAACTATCCTTCGTATCTTGTTTATAATCTGTCAGTTATCTCCGAGACTTATTACATTTATTATTGACAATTTGTAATAGTAATGCGGCTGTACTTTAGAATGGTAGTAGACTAGATCTGATCTTTTTAAACCACTTCAGATATTTTCCAGATACTGCACATGCTACGTCTGAGGTATTTCTATCTGATTACTCTACGATTCTTAGCGATATTTATAGTCATAGATAGGCTGAGAATTATCTCATGATGCTTGATACTCACTCCTTCTCTTTCTGTATGCTTAATAATTAATCTTAGTCGAATAACAATAACACAACTGGTATGTTGCTTTCATGTCACGTTTTTGTATCTGTAGATATTAATAGAATGCACTGTGTATTCGTTTATAATTAACGTGCATCATTCTTTTTAACGATGATAAGTCCAGTTGCAAAGTTTCTCATAATTTTACCGATAATCACAAGATCGCCGCGATTTATTGTCTCTTGATCCGACTTTTGTTTCAATTTTGTACATCGTGAACCGAAGTAATTCGCTTTAAATCAACTCTTCAAGTCAGATACCAGATCCATTGCCTTCCATTTTGAGAGAAACGATCTGTCTTTACTTGAAAGCTTTATTTTCTCTGCACAGCAGCGATACAGAGTATAATCCTAGCAGGGATGAGCAGGACGAGCACGAGATGGAGCATTCGACGGGATTTGCATTGGTTATTAATGGACATTCTTTAGTTCACGCGTTACATCCGAAATTGGAACATCTTTTTCTCGAAGTATCCAGCCAATGTAAGTCGGAGACGAGTGGCTTACGTTGAAAAAAACTATACTTGTCACTAACGGATCTGGGATCTTTCAGGTAAAGCTGTAATATGCTGTCGGGTGACGCCGCTGCAGAAGGCGATGGTCGTCGAGTTGATTAAGAAGAATAAGTCCGCGGTGACTCTGGCAATTGGCGACGGCGCCAACGATGTCTCAATGATAAAAACAGCTCACATCGGCGTTGGCATTAGCGGGCAGGAGGGACTACAGGCTGTGTTGGCCTCAGATTACTCGATAGGGCAATTTAGATTCTTGGAAAGGTTACTTTTGGTTCACGGTAGATGGTCGTATTACAGAATGAGCAAATTCCTTAGGTATTTTTTTTATAAAAACTTCGCGTTCACCCTCTGCCACATCTGGTTCGCCTTCTTTTGCGGATTCAGCGCACAGGTGAGACGCATATTAAAAATATATCACTACATTATCATAGCGATTACAGCGCAAAAATAATAAAAACACGGCAGTTAATAACAGATAAAAAGAGAGAAAAAGAATCACAGATAAAACGAATGATGATACGAAGGCGAATATGATTCTTAAGACTCCTTTGTCAGAGCTGTTCTTGCTCCGAAGTTGAGATTTTGAATATGCATACAGAATTGTTTTACTGATCGTTCAATCCTTGAGAATAGCGCGTTTGCTGGGAGTAACCAGGACAGCGTGTAATCAGTCATACATGTTTGCTTTATAGACTGTGTTTGATCCCATGTATATCTCCGTCTACAACCTATTTTACACGTCGTTACCAGTCTTGGCAGTCGGCATTTTCGATCAGGATGTCAACGATAAGAACAGCTTAATGTATCCGAAACTATACGCGCCGGGATTGCAGAATTTGCTCTTCAATAAGAAGGAATTTTGCTGGAGCGCTCTACACGGATTCTACGCTAGTTGTGTATTATTTTTAGTACCTTATGGTAAGTATCTGACGTTATCTGTGTGTCACTCTGAATATCATTTCTGTGTCTGCTTATTATTGCGAGCATCAGATTGTTATCGTTGGATCGTGACGAACTAAGTCTCATGTGCTTTTCAACAGGGACATACAGGGATGGAGTGTCGCCAAAGGGTTATGTACTTTCTGATCACATGCTATTTGGCAGTGTAGTAGCCACCATATTAGTGATAGTCGTGACCGTTCAAATAGCCCTCGACACGTCGTACTGGACAGTTTTTAATCACATCATGGTGTGGGGCTCGCTCATCTGGTATTTTATTTTAGATTACTTCTACAACTTCGTCATAGGAGGTAGTTACGTCGGCAGTCTCACGATGGTACGTCAGTCATTCGATTCTCCATTCCCGACGAAGTCGTGTGAAACGATTGAGAACGGTAAAGCTTAAGTCGATCTGTCACCGCAGGCTATGTCGGAGGCGACCTTTTGGTTCACAACGGTGATATCCTGCATAATCCTCGTGATACCGGTCTTGTCGTGGAGATTCTTCTTCATGGACGTCAGGCCGACACTGTCCGACAGGGTTAGACTGAAGCAAAGGTTGGCGCAGTTACGTTCCCGCCAGAGCCAGGACATACTGCGTACACCATCTACGAGGCGTACACGTCGTTCTCTACGCTCGGGCTACGCCTTCGCTCACCAGGAGGGCTTCGGAAGGCTCATCACGTCCGGGAAGATTATGCGCAAATTGCCAAATGGTGCTGATTTTAAGTTCGCTATGCCGTTTACAAACAACGTCACGAAGCAGGTGAACGTTGCCACTACGTCACCAAAGGATAATAGTGCATCTAGGAATTCGCACACACTGGACACAATTAATTTGTAGCTGAAACGTTTAGCCGATTTCTCAGCGGACACTGAAAGTGCAGGTGACTAGCGAGCTCCTCTTGATTTACTTAGTTACGGATGTTAGATCGAGATCTAACGCAAATGTGTCGTGAATTTGCCGGTTCCGGTGTATCCCATTGAAATCGTGTTCCCCCGATATCACTTTTGTGGTGATTGAGAGACGCAGGTGATATTGTACACAGTATTCGAGGGTATCTCGCGGAAGAGTCGATATCTGTGATTTTACGTTATGTTTAATTTATTTCCCTTTCCTTTTTCGTTCTTTTTTTCTTTCCACGCAGAAACGTTAGAGTTGTATCTTGAATTATATAAAGTGAGCGCAAAATTTTTCGGACAATTAGAATCCCTGTTGTGATCTACAACGTATATGCCTATAAACGACGATAGTGATAAACGTTGAAGCAAATGCAGGTAACTTTGTTAACGCGTATGTGTCTTTAACGCAATGGATTCCAGTGGGATACATTGAGTTACACTACAATAGAGGTAGCATATGCTATTTACGTCTATACATACATCACCGTTGAGCATTTACGCATCCGTTACAACTTACGATTTAAATGTTTTACGTATTCACGTGTTCAGTCATTTCTCAGCTATATTTTTGCACTTTTGCCGAGTAATAAATGTACGGAATATGCATATTTGATTTAACATTTTGGTCACACAATGATGATATTAGGCAGGTAAATGTTAATATATGTTCTATAACCGTATGGAAAAATAGCTTATGCTACGATACACAGATTTACGTTTTTAATGCTTAATATAAAATTCCGTGCGTGTGAGAATGATCTTGAATATCAACACACTGTGAGACGTTTGTTCGACGAGAGTCTCGAAGAAACAAACGACTATATTTTTTTCTTTTTTATTTCGTGTATTCAACAACGTTGAAAGCAAGTATTCGAAGGGAGAAGATTCAGCGAAATATATACATTCTCTAATTTTATCTACAATTCACGTTTGTTTTCGGACATCTGATTGATGATCAGGGTTTTACAGATTATAGTTACTTACTTGCGCGTATTATCGATGGTGTGTTAATTTGCGAGGCGACACGCAAAATTGCCGCGTAACTCACTATAGGCATTTCTCTCGTTGCAAAACTTGTTGTTTTGGATGGATGTTTGTTGGATGGATCGGGGAAAAGTATATACTCAGCATTTAGTATTTGCGATTCTGTGGTTAATTTTCGATTCGTTTTACCGGAGACGTTAGTACGCGAGGATAACGGTCATGCAATAACGGCGCAAAAAACAATTCGCGTTGTCATGCACTCCTTGTGTATATATAGAAATATATCGCATAGAGGTGTCAAAAATCTTGTAATATCCTATCTTGTACTATATATTAATCTAGTGCGAACACACACATGATTATTGTAAAAACGAAAAAAAAAGAACATGTTTACACAATATACTATTACGGTATAAGAATTATAGTTACATTGATAATTGCCTTTATAAAACATGGATAAGACAAACGATTTAAAATATTGTACCATAGCGCGCATTCATTGTAAATATTTTAAAGAGAGATAAATATATATATATATATATATATACATATATATATGTATATATATATATATATTATATTAAATGTTAAGTATACATTTTTTAAAAGAAAGTAATATATAGATAGATCGATTTAAAGAAATACGAAGATAGTAGCTATATTGTATTACACTATTGCGAATGAAGTTTGCCTTGGACTGACTACTGAATACATATAATATATTAAAGTGAAAAAAAAGTAATAGCAACAATGGAGTATGTATTTCTACTTTTAATATTACAATGAAGTCTAGGGAGGAATAGTCTATACGCGCGCGCGGGGAAAGTAATGTTCCACAATCAAATTATTATTTGAAACGGAGAGGACATTTCGTTTTGCTTTCGAACGTTGTGCCTAATCGTCGAACCACACACATTACACATACACGCGCACACACACACACACACATACACACACACACACCCGAGTGTCACAAGCTTCCGTAAAATTTCATTGGTTTACCGTTTTATGTTGATTAAATGTGATGTACACTCCATCTTCTATATGAATAAAAAAAGCGTATTACTTTAAATTATTAATTTCAAACATGGATATACATTCGGTGGTTGTACACCGATAATTTCTCTCTCGCATCATAATATGCGCATATCGGAAGAAAAGAGAAACGTGTTAGAAATACAATAATGATTTTTCTCGAGTAAGTTTCTCTGCAGCCTTTATCATTTCTCGTTCATATCGTATGACGTCGAATTTCTCATAAATATTACATTCTTGAGGAAATTACCGTTGCTCATCAGTAAGATGCAGGTTGTAAGCTACTTTCTCTATAAGTAAGTCGTTACCGTTATTCAAGAAGTCGCTACAATTTCGATTACTTTTCTCACGGAGTTCTGAAGACTTCTTTTCACGATTCGCTGTCGCTTACATCTCGCAAATGTATTCTACATGCGTAAAGCAACGATTACGTACTCGTTACTGTCGCACACAAATGTATAATTACGTTACCACTATCGGTACTAACGAAGAAAAATAACACCATTACGAGGTCGTTACTAAGAAAGATAAATGACGGTAATGATGTTACGGATAACATTGATTATATATATGGGGGTTTCCAACCCTGATAATAAGACGATAGTAAAACGATTCGGCAAATTTCACACGATTCGCATACAACTCGTCACGTTATAGATTGTCTCTAAGCTTTCGTGAAGATATCATGTGTTTCTGAAAGACGAAGCTTACAAATCAAGTAATAAGGCATTATCGAACGACTTTTGCATGGTGAAGATAAGATACTTATCAATAGTCATATAAATGGACTGAAAAAAAATATATATATATAAAATTTGACATATATTTATAAACTAAAGACGAGGAAGCTAAAATTGTATAAATATTTCGTCAATGCTACAACTGTGCTGTCACGGCAACTTTTCGATATTGACACGCATGTATAAACGCATTTCTTCTTCACACATGGAAAAAATAAGTTTACACAGTCTCATAAGAAGATGCACAGCCTACGTCTTTCTTGAGGTTAATTTATATGCACATCTGTCTTGGTATAATATATTTTTCGCGCTACTATAAGTAGTCCTTTAATTATAATTTATGCGAGATGGTTATATATATATATATATATAGTGTGCGGTATACGTTGGTTTGTCGATCACGGGTGACAATTTTCATTGTGAGATTGTTTCGAGATCCCGACGTAATCCGACACTTTATTTGTACGTGTTGTATATATTTCGGATGTATATTAAATGGTTTACTTTTAAATTTTCTGTGCTAAAAAACAAAAGGGCTAAGGAGCGTCTTCTACCGGCGTTTGACAATGCCCCTCTGTTTATATTGCGTGCGCGACGAAAAAGGAGAAATATATAGATATTATTTGGAAATCTCGGTAACACATTAAAACATATTGATGTGCTTACTTAATGTAAGAACGGATAAGAATTATAACATAGTCATAAAATGTTGTTGGTTGCATAAACTGTTATATGTATGTTACAATTCAAACGCTGAATCAAATTTGGAAGCGAAGCGTATCGGTCCGCTGCATGTGCTCTACTGATTACGTGATTAATCAATCAACAGTCGATCGGAACACGCGTAAAGTTCCGAAGGAAGTGACAAAAAAAAAGAAACATGTAATGATAATGATACTTTCGTATCTTCAGTATAGTTTTGCGTAACTGTATTTCTCATAGCAGTTTGTGCACACTTTTTTCTTTTGTGAACATATCTTCAAAACGTTTTCACGTTGTACGCGTTCTTTATGGGATACTAGTATATGACAATAATGCGAACAGTTAAATATAATACAAATACGCATTATATTATATGTGATTGCTAAATAGTATCAATTATATCTTTGCCTTATTTGAATATCTCTCGCCTGAAATAAATACTACTCTTTCAGTAATTTAGTTCTTCTTGTCGCATATATATATATATATATATGTATGTATGTATATGTATGTATATGTATGTATGTGTGTGTGTGTACAAAACTATTGCGTAATTATATATATTAAGGGACACTTCTCCGACGACCTTGAACTTCATATGTGTTGTCAAGGACATTTCCTTGAATAACTTGCGAAAAGTTTTAGTCGGCGGTCATTGTTTATTAAAAAGTTATTAACAAAAGAATTTTCATAAATGACACAGTCTCCTTTCCGCTCATATATTTATTTGTTTATGCATGTAAAATATTGTGTACATGTTAACGAAGGAGAAGCAGAATTCCTCCTCTTGCATTCCCCATTTCCCAAAAATAACCTATTTCATTCTAATATAACCTGACCTGACTTGATTTAACTTAAATTGCCGTTACTTTTGGTATTAGGAAATAAAATCAAATAAAATCGTTATATTGTAAGGTATTACACATTTATCTATTTTTTAATTTATTTTGTCATTAAATATAGATCAGTCTGTTTTATAAATAACAATGCGCTCAAAAATATATAAAGAATATTTGCGTTCAAACAAAAAATTAGCAAATAACTTCAGAAATAATATATAATGGTATTTTCGTCGAAGAAAAGTAGTCAGATGAAATGGCGATGTTACAAAGTGTTGTACATACTAACATAACTGAAGAAGTGCAATAACATTATCTCGCTTTGACTATTATTTATATTTATACTTCTTCGCTTACTATTACTTTTCGACGAAATAATTATAGATTTAATAGACATGTTCATAATATGTCCCACTTTACGTAAGGCCTCGCTAATCTTTTCAATATATTCCTTTTCTAGTATATTACAGACTCATCTATTTAGTAAAGCGAAGATTTAATAAATATATTTATTCATATTTTTTCTTTTAGAATATTATTTTTTGACTGACTGGAGATGTTTCGCCCTTCCCCCTATCGGCTTCACCCTTTGGACCTTCATCATTCGTTTGTAAAAATACCTGAATTTATATAGATCTTATAGATCTATATTAGTCTCTATATAAAATATATAAATTCAAATAATTTTACAAACGAGTAATGGGGGTCCAAAGGATAAATATATTTATTAAATCTTCGCCTTATTAAATCAATGAGTTTACAATATACTAAAAAAAGAATATAGTGAAAAGATTAGCGAGGCTCCTATGCAAAGTGAGACGTATCATGGAAAAATTATCAATATTATCATTAGGTAGATATAGGTTGATTTTTTACATAGATTTAACGTCGTTTACGTTTATAGATTTAATGTTTTATTACATAGTAATTATATAGAAATTTGCAAACTTCAGTGAAGTAAACTATTATACATTTAATTTTGCGGTAAAAATATTGGTCGATGTAGAACTTATATTTTCGGATTTTTTTCTATAAAAACTTACCTCTGCCCCCTTCCTTGAAACTTTGTACACATGCTTTCTTATAGTTAATTCTATTAATTGCTACAAAAAGTCGCGATTTTTAATGGAGTAATAATTTTTGGATATTTATCAAAACTTTTTTGTTAATAACTTTTTAATAAACAATGACCGCCGATTGAAATTTTTTGCAAGTTACTCAAGGACATGTCAAGGACCTTGATAACATATATGAAGTTTAAGGTCACCGACGAGGTGTCCCTTAATATGCATAACTACCAATTATTGTTTCTTTTTGATACAGTTTCTCTGATACACAGCATTTCCTCATTGACGCACCTGTCTTTCGTTTCTTCTTGTAGAAAGTCTCTTCCGCCGTCTTTTTACATTGTCTTCACGAAAGAGAATCTTTCATCAGCGTTAAGATTATTAAGATCAACGTATCGCACGATAGAGCCATGCAGAGGCGCGTTAAATCAACATTACGATTTAAGGTGGTCTTTGTACACAATGTACGCGCTAATGAGATCCAATATGGTCGCAAAAGTATACATGTTGTAACACACGTAGCGCGATAGAAGGACAACGTAGGAGAATAATCGCGATATCGAGTAGCGACATAATTAATCTTTATCATAATTCTTAGTTACTCGCGAGAACGACCAGACACGAGATCATTCCGTCGACGATATATTTCGGCGTGCCGACTGAATCGCTTCCGCGATCAGACGTGATCAACGCGTCGTAACAGGAGAAAAAATTCCTGTGTACTCATATTTCCTCCTGATTTCTCCGTGTGAATCACGATGTTCGAACGTTTCACAAGGAATCATCTCGATCATGTCCGACAAAACTGATCATCTAGACTACATTCGCTTCCGCATCGCGATCATCGTGTCCTTTTTGCTTCACTTCGTTACTCCTCCGAGGTTTCCGACGATTTAAATGCTGTAATATCAGCACGTACATTTATAAGAGCAATTACTCTCTGTCGATCGTACGAGGAAAATATCGCGCGTAGACATTACTTGTAGTTCAATCCGAATGAAGGGGACCACAGTACAATGCATTTTAACGTCGACTTATTATTTACACACTCCACTATGCTCTTCGGGATCGCTTCTACGAACGTCGATGAAGTGTTCGTTTTCGTTGAAAGAAGTTGCTTATAGAAGTTATTTCCAAGATACTCGCGTGATATTGGTCTAAAGAAACGAAGGTGTACTTGTAATATAGCTGACAAAGCGCATCGTGCAAGAGAAGAGACGTATAAATAAAAGGAGAAAAGGAAGAGAAAATGTGCTCCGTCACGGATTAAAATAATTTTACGAGAATCGATGTATATTTGTATGTAAATTAGCCGAGATGTAAATGAAAACTGTAATCTCCCCAAACGCATCATATACGACGAAGCCGATGGGTTGTGCGATTTATTTGACGAGACTTTGCATTGAGTTTAGTGATCAGGTCGGGAAGAAGACAGGACATACATATACACGCGCGCGCGCACATACACACAGAACACAAAGTATCAAGTCGTATTCATAGTATCCTCGGATACGTCTGTCACACTAAGTTGCGCTTCTTGTACGTAAGATGTGTAAGATACATAATTTCGCCCGGCTCTTCGCGCGGCCTGTCGTTAAATTTAAGTTGTCCGTTTTGCGTTTTGTACATCGAGAGACAGACAGGGACGAGGGGATGGATTTCCCGTTTAAAAGTCCGTTTAAAATTCACGGTCGACTCATGTTGATATGTGCATTAATAACGTAATAAATTAAGGATGATCTTGTACCTTTATTGCACAACAGCGTTTATTTACAACCGTGTGTATGGGTATACACAATTTGTGGTGTGTAATGTGTAGTACACGGGATGTACCTCGCGACTCAACCGGGAATGGGGCAGTTCTTCGCGAGAGAATGAAGTTTTACCGAAGTTTTACTATATATCTTTTGCTTCGCATTATGCGCATCTCTCCCTTCATGAAAAATCATCCTACTTTTAGCTGCACCAACATTTAGCACAATACGTATGCGAATCGTACACGTTGTGGCGGTAATCAGCCATTCTCGAGACGCAATGCAATCAAACGGTATAATAAGAGCGTGGACGTTTCACAAAATAATTAGCAAAACCACGAATTTAATGACATATCCTCTGATCAAAATTCGGAGTTCCCGCAAATTCTTTCAATAACTTTCCGAAATATTCACAACTTATTTCGTTTTCTCTTTTTTACTTTTACGAAAAAAATAAACATCTGTTAACAATACAGTCATATGCATTCAATGAGATTAGCGATTTGGATTAGCTACACGACGCTCTCGTGTTACCATTTTTTAAAGATCATTTCACGATTCACATTTCATTCGAATAACGAACATTTTTGATCTGTTTTTAAATTAGTAAAAATAAAATAAAAATAACAGATAGCAATGTTGTACTTTTTTCATATGCGTATTGTCCCTACCCGTTTTATACTCTCATTTATTCAGATTATTATTGTCGGTAAATACCTGCTGACGTGCTTAAGAGAAAATTACTAATTTATATTAGATACGGCCTTTCAAATATCAGATTGTTAAAACCAGATATGCCTTAATGTATAATCACGCATGTTCCGTACGCATGTATAAACATACATGTATCATTGTTTAAATTTTAGTAATATAATACTCTCGTACAACAAAATCGTCCATCGCGATGTGGTGCAGTTTGCACACACCAGACTAGAGATATATATATATTCCTTTAATCACCTTGAATTTATCACTTGTATTTTAATACATTTATGCATGACCGAAGAAAACATGATTAACTAATATAATAACTAATATACAAATTTTGACAGAACGATTTTATTTGTTCTAATATTAATCACTGTTAAAATTGCAATCTTTTGGCTAACGAAGCACCGTCTGCTGATTCTAACAATTTTCTCTTTAGACTGGGCCTTTCTTCTGGTTGCCGTTTAATAGCTGTAGGCAGAGGTAACTTGGGTCCAGGTGTTGGGGCAGGCTTGTTATTGAAGTACGGCATCTGTAACGCCTGATCGCATGTGCATCTTTCCAGTGGATTCACATTCAAGAGGCTAGCGATTAAATCTAGGAGGTCGTCACCGGCGGCGGTGAATATGTGCTTCAATGGCGTGCCGGGAAAGGGCTTAAATTGAATAAAATCCGGTAATTCGATCATCCCCGGCCACGTTTCTTCCGTTGGAGTACCTAAAGTCTAAAAATGATAAAACATTCAAAATGTGTTAACAGAAGAATTTATCAACGTATTCTTTTTTATATTGAACAACCTGAAATATCCTTGTAAGTTGGTCCAAATCAGATTCTCCAGGCAAAAATGGTACCCGCAGTAAAAGTTCAGCCAGTATACAACCCACTGCCCACATATCAATAGCAGTTCCATAAAGTCTAGCACCATAAAGTAATTCGGGTGCTCTGTACCACCTTGTAACTACTTGATGAGTATTGATTCGATTAGGTGAGCCAAAGAATTTTGCCAAGCCAAAATCTCCAATCTTCAGAACACCTTCGGAATTCACCAATAAATTATTTGGCTTTAAGTCTCTATGAAGTATCCAATTAAAATGGAGATAATCTAAGCCTTGCAATGTCTGAATCATGTATGCCTTGATGTTCGCTGCAGTTAGGACTATATTGTTGTCCTTTATTATTACTTCCAGATCAGTATCCATGAAGTCAAATACTAACGATACATTTGATTTATAACCAAAAACATCTAAAATTAGATAATATAATTGGATAATTATACATGTATAACATATACTGCCTCACACCATTCAGGCACACTTCGTTGCACTGAACTTGGCGCAAGGCACTGTCGTGCCTCTTGATAACTGGATAATTATACAGGATATCCAGGATTTTTTGGAAACGAGAAATTGTGAAGATTAATAAGGTAAAACTGAGAAGAAATGTCATGTACCATTTTGCAAAAATCACAATAGTTATTAATAATTAAAAATGACCACATCTAGAGGTTCTTTTTTAATTGATAATTTTAAAATTTGTGTACTTATTTGCAAAATGGTATTTAACTTTTCTTCTTAGTTTGATTTGATTAATCTCTACAATCTTTCATTTCCAAAAGATCTTGGACACTATGTATATGTATGTACACATATACATATACTGTGGTGCATCGTATTGTGCTGCATCAGAGAAAGTACTTTTCCTTCAGCAGTTCCCATCTACTGCTTTGTTTATGCTTCCTTCTCTAGCGAATCCGCTAGAGAAGGAAGCATGGAGGAAATACGCAGTAGACAGGGACCGCTGGAGGAAAAGTACTTTTCCTGACACAGCACGATATGGTGCACCACAGAGTATATATACACACACACACACACACATACACATATGTACACATATATGTATATACACATATAAATTATATAAGTACTTGTGTATATATGTATATATATACATACATACATATGCATATATACACAAGTGCTTATATTGTTTATATATGTATATATATATGTATATATAGCCTCCATTTTATACTTTGCTTAAAGAAATTTATATCAGAAATAATTACCCAATAGGCCAATGATATTGTCATGTTTTAATTCTTGCAACAGCTTGATTTCACGTAAAGCAGTTCTATTTATACCATCTCTGGCTTCTGCACGACTCCCTACTTTAATCTGTAAAAAAGAATGACAATTTATTATAATAAATTATATGAAATCATAATCATCATTCATTTTTAGTTTAGTCCAAAGTCGAGATCAACATGTGGTAAAATATGGAATAAATCTGCATATGTAATAAATTATATGAAATAAATATAATTATACAAAATAAATATAATGTAATGAAGTATATTATACAAGAAAGTAACCAACCTTTTTTACAGCTACAATATTATTTGTTTCTATATCCCTGGCTTTATAAACTGTGGCAAACTGAAATATGTAAATTATACATATGTATAAATTTATTAAGCAAATCTCTATGTTATATATATTATGAGATTATAACGAAAAAATACTTTCATATAAGTTATAATGTAAAGTACAGAAAAAAATATCAATTCTAACCTGTCCTTCTCCCAAAAAGTCGATTTTTTCATATCTTCGTACTTTTTCTGTCATTGTGGAAATTTGAGCAACATACAATAACGTCTCACTCTTTCTTTAGCATCCGCAATTTTTTCGCAAAAGTTTGAAAAGTTTTAAATAATGTACACTTCTAAAACAGAGACAATGACGCAACTCCGCCGTTGCGTGAATGCACTTAACGATTGAAAGTATTTTACATTCGTTTAACTCTTTTTCAGAATAATTTCATCGAATGAATCACTTTCTCGATGTTTAAAAATTTAATTGATTCCTATGTAGATAGATTCTTCAATTTCATTTCATGTTACTTAATTTAACTGTTATTTTAAGGGTCTACAGGAGCCAGAGACAAATCCAGCGTTGACTTTGGAGGCCTCGTGCGGCGAGATCGCGAACCAACACCGTGCGCGCGAGCGCAACAGCAGGAAGGTTGGGTCAAGTCAGTTTGACAAGGCTGTCACAATAATTTTTCGACTGATTCGCTCCAACGCCTGGTATTACGAACACTTTATTTATATATTATAAATTTTTGACGACCGAATTGCAAAATCCGGCTTTGTACCGATTTCGGAAGTAGTACGAAGAAGATGCTGCAACAATTTGATAATAATACGTATTGTCAAAGAGACGAAATATTGCATCCCGTAAAATAATATTTCGAGTGACTCGCAGCGATGCTTGATACGGCGGATGCTTTATTAATGTATGATAAACTTTTGACGGCCGGATTGCAAAATTTGGCTCTGTATGGACATCGATAATAGTTCAAGGAATATTCCATATCAATTTGGTGGTTACATATATCGTCAACGTGGCAAAATATCTTATATTTTAAAGTGGAAGCTGGAAAGTATTCATATACATACACACGGCAATACTTATGCACTGCTCATATATACGCTAATACTAATGCATTGCTCGCACGAACGCAAGGCAGGAAGGTTAGGTCATATAGACTGCACTATAGTGCAACCGGACTATACTTTCTGTGTTATCTACACTTACAAATTTTGCCATACGTACATCATATTTGCTTATCAAACATACATGGACATCTTCCTTATATTAATATCTAGGGTCGTACAGAGCCCGATTTTGCATTTAGGTTCTTGAAAATTTGTAATAAATGAAAATATAGGTTCGTGCTGCACCGCGAGATAAACGTTCATTCAAATTACTGAATCGATTTTTATTTCGACTTTTCTTCCAAAAAAGCGCTTTGTACGACCCTGCGGACGTTTTTCCTGATTGCAAATATCATACATATAAGGTGATTCTCTTCGTATTTTGTTCATAATTTGCAATATAATTTTGCCTAGTTCGCGAGTCTCCGCGAGAAGTCTCTAGTATGGCTCCTGTAGATCCTTAATATCATTTAATTTTGTTTATTTGGTGGTATTGTGCTATATATACAATTTAATGTATCATCAATAATAAGAATGTTAGTTTGTGCAAATAATAAGTGTATCAGCTTTTAAAGGAGCAATTTAATCTCAGAAAAAGCTTCGATTTCTTTATTTCATTAAAAGCCATTCATCTTCTCATGCTTTCCGTTGATTTTCGTTCGATCGTTCGTTCGGTAGGCAGAGCACAGACTTCTGCATAACGTCTTAAGGTCATTCTACAATACGTGTCGTAAGTCGTAAGCCGTAAGAACTGACCAATTATAGCCGATTATTTTTGTAATAATCGACTGTGATTCGCCAATTCTTACGGCTTACAACTTACGACACGTATTGTAGATCAGGCCTTAAACTCCGTTTAAAGCAAATTGTGGAACTGGGCCGTATGTATTATGTATTATGTGTTATGCAAAAGCCTGTGCTCTTGCCCTTTCTCTTACAGCTAATGTAGACGAGCCTTAAGAACTGACCAATTATAGCCAATTATTTTTGTAATAATCGACTGTTATTCGCCAATTCTTACGACTTACAACTTACGACACGTATTGCAGACCAGGCCTAAAGGCTCGTCTACATTAGCTGTAAGAATAAGGCTGTAAGGTTGCAAGACACGAAATGAAATATTTTCATTCGCTGACAGCTTACGTTACAGCCTTACAGCCTTACTCTTACAGCTATTGTAGACGAGCCTTAAGGCCGGTTGCACATAAAACAAGTTAGGGAATATCAGTAGCCAATCATTGTTCCAAAAATCGCGTGTTCGTAAATACTGACTGCGTTCCGATATTCACTGCCAGTACTGAAAATACATAGTTTATGTCATATATACTATAGATTTTCAGTGCTGGCAGTGAATATCGAAACGCGGCCATAAAAGGCTGCGTTCCGAAATTCACTGCCAGTACTGAAAATCTATATAGTTCACGTTACGTATATTATAGAATTTCAGTACTGGCAGTGAATTTTGGAACGCAGCCAAAGTCTGTGTTTCCGCCTATTCTTTTTGGGACGTCTCCGATGTATATATGTACATATCGGGCATCGTTAAGTCAATATTGAACGTGCGTTTTAAGAGGTCGTAGTATAAAATTTATTGAAAGAGTGAAGAGACGAAAATGGTGAGTACAAAATAAACAATTCTTACACATAATTACATTTTTTTTTAATGTACTTGTTTCTGCAGGTTAGTATACGACAACTCCATGTACATAACATATCGATGTTACCACTTGTAGCATCTTGGATTTAAATATATCAGGTGTACATACATAGATATCTAACGTACGCATTTTGGATTTTTCCAGAGGAAACTATATATTCTGTTTGAGCATGCCTCTGGTTATGCTGTGTTTTTCGTCAAACAGTTCGAGGAGATTGGAATGTTATTGCCCCAGGTGGAAGAATCCGTGACGGACTTGGCACGTTTTCGTTCCATTGTGAGCCTTGTTAGTTTCTCAGCCTTCAAGACTGCAGTAGCTGCACTAGAGAATATTAACAGCATCTCAGAAGGGATTGTACCAGAGCAGCTGCAGGTCTTTTTGGATTCTTGTGTGCCAAAATCTACAGAGAAGAATATTGTCCTTGGTGTTTCTGATCCCAAACTTGGTGCCAATATCACCGAAGTTCTGGGTATAAAATGTGATCACACCAATGGGATTCCTGAGATCATGCGTGGCATTAGATTTCATTTTCATGATTTGATTAAAGGCTTTACTTCCCACAGTGCATCAGTTGCACATTTGGGACTTGGACATAGCTATTCCAGAGCTAAAGTGAAATTTAATGTTAACCGAGTGGACAATATGATAATCCATACTATAGGATTAATGGACCAATTAGATAAAGATATAAACACGTTCAGTATGCGCATACGGTATGTATATTTTTCTACTTAACTACATAATTGAATAAATATATTTTGTCTTATATAACTTATTAAGATTAATCTTAAAGATTTCCACATAATTTAGTCTTCAATTTTGCTTAGTCAGTTTTAATTTGGTAGAATTTATATGAGAGCATGTCACTTTTTAGATAAAATTTATTCCCGTCCTTGTTTGAAATAAACAGGAACATAAAAATACCTTTTTCTGTTTATATTTCAGAGAATGGTATGGCTATCACTTTCCAGAATTAGTGAAAATAGTTCCAGAAAATCATATGTATGCAAAAATAACACAGGTGATAAAAAATAGGAAGGAGCTTACAGAAGAAAAGTTGGAAGCTCTTGAAGAAACTGTTATGGACAGTGCAAAGGCACAGGCGATCATTGACGCATCCAAGTCGTCTATGGGTATGGACATTAGTCTGGTCGATCTTATGAATATCCAGATATTCGCTGAACGCGTTGTTTCTCTGGCCGAATACCGCGAGCGTTTAGCTCAATATTTGCGAAGCAAGATGTCGGGAGTTGCACCGAATTTGGCATCTTTGATTGGCGATCAAACAGGTGCCAGATTGATCGCGCACGCTGGATCGCTCACCAATCTCGCCAAATTTCCAGCATCAACTGTCCAGATTTTGGGCGCAGAGAAAGCGTTATTCAGAGCGCTAAAAACTAGAGGAAATACGCCCAAATTCGGGCTGCTCTTCAATTCCACGTTTATCGGGCGCGCCGGTGCTAAAGATAAAGGCAGAATATCGAGGTACTTGGCGAATAAATGTTCCATGGCTTCTAGGATTGATTGTTTCTTGGATATACCGACCAATGTGTTTGGTGAGAAATTGAGACAGCAGGTGGAAGACCGACTGAAATTTTTCGAAACTGGAGAGATACCCAAGAAGAACATCGACGTTATGAAAGAAGCCTTGGAGGAATCACTGATTTCTATAGAAAGAGAAAATAAAGAATCTCCTAAGAAGAAAAAAGACAAGAAAAAGAAACGCAAGATGCTAGAGAATGGCAAAGAAAATGAATACCTGGAGAACAGTCACGCTGAACAGACTGACACACTCCCATCGAGAAAGAAAAAAAAGTCAAAATCAATATCTAATGATTAAATTAAAATGTGAACATTTAACTGTTATGATTTTTGTTCTACCTTGATTTGCCATTATTTACCATATGCATACATCATTCTTTTATTATTATTAATAATGTTAATAATATTATTAATAGTGTATTAATAATATTAATATATTGGATATCTTGCAACATTTTATCCTCTCGATAACAAAGATAAAATGTATGGAATCGTACTGCAATGTTAATGCGTGACTGTTCCATGTCTAATCTCGATTCATTATCTTTTAAGATTTGACATTATATACTTGGATTTTTTTCTGCACACGCGGGATTTTCGAAATCATTCGCGTATCCTTGTCGGAATAACTTTCAGCTTTTCGTGATTTTGATCCGGTTACTAATTATTAATTCACGATGTTATGTGTAATTACCGTCGTGTTTGAAAACTGGTCTTCCGGTGCAATCAAACCTGAGACGATGAGCTATTTTCCTCGGCGGTTTTTCGGGTGGAGAGCAACGTGGTATGGCAGGAAAGTAGCAGATTGTATAAGTGGCTCTATGAAAAATGCACTCATTCATTCATTTAATAAATGGCTGTGCGCTGGAAAACCCCAGGCTAACGCCAACCCGTAGACCAAATGTAATCTGTGTGAATAAAGTATTTGGAATCAATGACTGTTCCAAGAGATTATTCTTTGTGTACTCCTCAAGAAATGAATGTGAATTCTGGTTCAGATTCAATAAATGGCTCTGGGTAGAGCTGTTACACTCTATCCCCTACGCCAGTAAAAGAAAAACGGACAATACGTACGCGGTCCCCACAATAAAAAAAATATGCGCAGTTACAGGAACCACATCCAACCACGCCACGGAAGCGAACAAAAGACTTTGAAAAATGCATGATACCAGCGGCGCGATTCTTTAACTCGTTATTGGAGTTAACGACACTTTCGTTATCGTTAACTCCAATAACGAGTTAAGGATCGCAGAGAAACTTGAGAGCGGCCAATACACACGACATTTTCTGCGACACCGACTTTCCGCACTGGGAAAGGACGCCATCTGCATCCATTTTGAGAGGAGAACTACGATGCTACATCCACTTTCAGGTAAAATCTGCATGTGGTGGAGTCTGTGCTACATCCACTTTCAGGCGGTTTATGTCCGTGCTGCAACCACAGCTGCCATTTCCATGCCAGACTATGCCCGGAGCAGTGTTGGGCTCTGGCACGATTTTTCGCGCAGCGGAGCCTCCGTGCGCATGCGTAACGTGACGTCAGAGGTAGAAATCAGCTGCGTTCACAGTCGTATGTTGGGTATAACAGTAGGAGCTAAAGCTGCTAAAGGGGCCCTTTCTTGTACTTTTACCGTGTGTTCAAAGTGAATTCAGTGGAAGCAATGGAGATGGATGATCCACAGCCGTCGACATCAACTGACATCGAGGAAAAGAAGAAACGAAAATATAATAATATTTTGTCAATATCTATTACAATGCATAATATAGCAGGGCCCTAGCGATACCTAATATTTTTACGTCTGTGACGATTCTAAGCGTTGCCCAGTATGCATGCGCGAGAAAATTCTCGTCAGAGCCCAACACTGGCGCGGGCTCGTTTTCGCAGCACTGTAGCGAGGGCGCCACAAACGCTTATACATTGAAATACATGGGAGATTAGAATCCCTGCAAAAAGTATCGGAATCCTGCTAAACCTATAATCTAGCAAGTTGAAACTCATATAAATTTAATGTTTTTCATGATATAACTTGTAAGTATCGTCATGCCAACTTGTTTGTAAATATTGACGCCAATCAATGTTAAATGTACGTTACTCTTTTCAGATTAGAGTTATTCTTTAGAGGTTAGAGAAATTAATTTACGCTATTAGGTCAACTAATTGCCGGCTGACATAATCTCGTCAAGTTGTATCGATTATTGTGTTGTGAATCGTTTTTACTTAAAAGCATGTTTGTTCAAACTCGGCACAAGTTATTAAATACGATACTAAAATATGGCAAACAGTGGAAGTACAGTACTTCAGCGGTCACTGAAGTCAAGGATACATCCAATACAGAATCATTGTATTTACCTATTGAAGATACGAGCTTTAAAGCTAGAAAGAAAAAGATGAGACAAACATGGTACGAGGAGATCAAAAATTTAGAAACTGTGGAAGAGAAATTATTTAAGGTCAATATGCCACGATATTATGGCTGGAAACTGATACTTTTAGAAGAAAGCAAAATACCATACAATTCATTGAAATATATACAATATATCACGAGAACACATGTTATGAAAGAACCTGGTCTTCCAATTCATTACAACAATGTGATTTCCACTGAACAATTGGATAACATTGTAGAAGCGGTTAAAAATAATATAGCAGATGACATAGCTTTTGAACATTGTAGTCGATGGTTAGTATATTTATACTGTTTTATAGAGATCAAAGATTCTTTTGTTTATTATATATAGGGATGAGCAATTATGCTCAAATCACAACTATTATAATAGATTAGAAAACGAGATCATTTGATTGTTAATATTATAATTATTGACTATCAGTAACTTAAGATCATTTGTCTATATTCAAACTGCATATAGGCATTTTATATAAGCTTTATATTTTATACTAATAGTCTATAATACTGCAGGAGAAGACATGAAATAAGTGGTGAGGATTTTGAAAGTGAAAAGAAGCTAAAAGATATAGTCTGCAAAGCTATAATTGAGAGAATTAATAAGACAATGTTGGTTCATCTCTCTTTTAAATATTTGCATTTGTTAAATGCTGAAGTCAATATTGAACCAAGGTTGGAAGCATCTTGGGTTATAGGTTTAGAACCTTCAAACAGGGTAAAAAATAGCAGAAAATATAGAAAGTTACCAGAAGATTGTATTGATGAACCCTTTGATTTTCCTGTTCAATATCTGGGCCAGCCTGTTGTACATTTGAGACATAAGCATCCTCTGAGAGAAATTATTCCTTTAAGTGAGTGTGAAAATCCAGATTTGGATGTACCTACATACAAATATTCCCCTGTAGCACTGGGTTACATGTTGGATCGACGACATGTAACTAATATACCTGGATTTTGGCCTGGTGATGAAAATGAATTTGGGTTATTATCTTATCACAATTGTATTTATACTCAAAATAGAAAATTTGATGATATATCAGAGGCAAAAATAGTACAAGCCATATTAGCATCCTACAGTTGGTTATTGACTCAAGCTTGTTATCAAGGTACTTTTATACAGAATTATATTTTAAATATGAACTATATATAGATCTTGTATCTTATATATAATTACTTTGAATCTATACAATTTCAGGCTTTTCTACATACAATGACATCACATATCCACTGACTACTCAAACGATCATAACAGATGGACACTTGTGGTCGTTTTCCACTTATCAACTTAATACTCTATTAGTGCATTCTGAACACATAGATACAAATCCAAAGCGCAACATATGCTGGATTACTGAGCCGATGAAGTTGTTTGACAAGATAGAGGGTGAGAAAATTCACGGCTTAAATGAAGAAGTTCTCAGGAACCTGGTCAAATTCTACGTAAATGTGCCTAAAGAGAGGATAGGTGTGGATTTGAAGCCATATTTAGGGAAATCCACGAGAGTAATAGCTGATATAGAGCATGATGAAAGAAGAAACTGGCTCGAGAAACACTACAAGCATCTTGTGTGTAATAGACCACGGCATAGGTGCATATCAATGAATATATATATATATATATATATATTATTATCATTTTAAGAATTAACTTTCTACCAAAAACTTCATTTAAGTAGCAAACGAATTCATCATAAGGGACATACTTTATTGACTAATTCACGATGTATCTCTTTTTCAGACGAATACCTGAGATATATCAGTGGCAAAAGTTCTATTTAATTGATCATAAGACTTGTCCGATGCACAAGAAACGAGAGCCATTTGAACATGGAATCGATATATTCAAACGTAGATTAGACGATCATCAGCCATCTTATATACCAAAGTGCTTACGAGAGAACCCTAAAAAGAAGAAGATAGGACGATGGGAAAAGACGTATTATCCGTAATTTGAGGTATACACATATATGTTGGACACGCATAAATATAACAGATTATATAGAAAGGCGATCATTAATTTTTAAAATGATATTTATTTCGTACAATCCGTACAATTCTGTACAATCCATACCATCCATCTTGACATCTCAAAAAAATTTATCATTACCAACATTTTTATACAGTTTTGATTTCTTTTATTTTTTAACAGAGGGAGGGATTTATAGATACGTTTATTCCCGTTCAGCATTTGAGCTGTCAGATTTCCATATTAATGATTCGCAAGCTTTATATTTCAACTTTATGTTTTAGCTTTATATTTCAACGTAGTGAAAGATTTTGCGGGTAGCTGCAAATTTATATGTTTCCCTGGTATAGCCTTATCTTGAATGGCGATATCATAGGACTTCTCATCTCTGTGACAGAAAAAATGTGTTGGATTATTTCAAGAAGTTTAATGTGTTATCCTAAAAAATCGTACATGAGTCTAGGAAGAAATTCGGAAATTCGATTCCACATTCAATCCGACGACAGAATGTCCACGTACTTTTTATTTTTGGATAACATACATAATATTTATCGTGTCTATTCACACATATCGATATTCGTACTAACCAGAAACTTTATTGAAGTATTTGAATCTTGGCAATGCATGCCAATGAACCAAACTGATAGGATACGTATCAAGATAATGTGTCGTATCGATTTAATATATTGTTTAATATATTGTTTTCTTTCCATATTTTTAAAATAAAAATAGTTTAATATATAAAATTACTAGTTTGTATCCTTATTAAACGAGCAGGATAAATAGGACTATCGATATTATCAATATAAATGTGCTTTTTACTAACTTGTTGAGCAACACTAGTACAATATTATTCTCGGGCGTCGAGAAAGCTATGGCCTGAACAAGGTCGCTCATATCGGTCCCAAGACCAGTGCACCCAATTCTTGTGGAATTGGGTGAGACAAATTTGCTGACGTGATAAAGCGCATAATACATAGGTTGTTTGTAGAATTCGTCGTTCTCCGGCATTACAATAATAGGCGCATCCACGAAATTATTAGCCCAATTCGGTCCGCCGCTTTTGTTGAGCGCTAAATTCCAGTCCACCCATCCAGTAATCCAATGCGACAAACTCTAGAAACATCACTAATTCTGCTAATAGAACTAGATATACAAATAGCCATGCATACTGCTGTTGCCTCTATATACAGGATGTTTTAGATCAACCGCTCATCCTTTTTAAAATAAAGGGCAATAGTTTTTAGTAAAAATCCCAAAAAATGTCATGTCTAAATCGGGCTGTACTATTCAATGATATTTTCAACTTTCGATACTGACCGGAAATTGGCTATGCAGACCGAAAGTTGATTTTCTTTTTTAACGAAACCACTTTTTATTGCATATCTGGATTACATTAAAAAAAAAAGGATAAGAAACTTTTGTCCCGAACTTTTTTCTGAAATTCCTCCAGTGACCTTGAAATTATATTGAATTTGTGATGAAAAATAAACTTTTATTGTGTTTCTGGGTAAGTTTATTCAAACAGTGTTCAAATCGAGTACTGTTTTGTGCGATGCAAGCATCTACTCTGGTTTGGAAGAAATTTGCTTGAAGAATTTCATCAGCACCTAAAGATTGAATTGCTTCATTTATTTTGTAATCATATTGTCATTTGTAGTCAGATGTTCACGGTACCACAACATTTTTTATCCTTTTCCACAAATAAGAAACAAATGTGATCCATTGATCGGAGTGGATAATTTATCGGACCATATTTGTTTATCCACTTGTTGGAATTCGCACACGGATAGCAAGTTTGGCTTAAGCTTTGCGTGTGAAACACACTTTGATCACACTTCTAATATTTTAAGATCACTGGTGGCATTTCAAAAAAATGTTTAGGACAAAAGTTTCTTATTGGTTGTGGTATGTAATTCGAATATATAATAAAAAACGCTATGTTCCACTTAACATACTCGATTTCTGACTTACATAGTTAATTTTCGGTCGGTACTGAAAGTCGAAAATATCACCATTAGGTAAAGCGTACCCGATTTAGCCATGACATGGATTTTTACGGGATTTACGGATTTTACGAGATTTTTGCCAAAAATTATTTTCCTTCATTTCAAAATGGGTGAATGAGCGGTCTGGGCACACTTGTATAATAGTTATTGCATAATGTGGGAAAATTCCTTAATATCATGTAGAATTTGATTAATTATGTAAAGTTACATGAAATAATTTTTGATGTTTGTGAAAATTCTCACCGTGCATCTAGAGCTAAATAACGTAATTGATAGATTTTTTATCTTATGACTACGTCGAATGTTTTTCAAGTAGGCAAAAGCTGAGAATAAGCGTGTTTTCAGTTTCTTCGATTTTACATATGTACAAACCTCGATTATGTCCGAGAGATACTGCTCCCCTCGTAGCCAACACCCAAGAATCACTTTGTGTTCCTCGAATAAGGTACTACCTACAAGCAAGAAGGGAGAGGGATGGTTATGTTGGCTTATTTTGTGAATCTTTCCAAAAATGTTATTGTCGATGAATTATTAATGTCTACATCACCTCGATTTATCAAAACAATATGATGATACACGTGGCGTGTGCTTACCGGTGCACGCTTCGGTCATCAATATAAACTTGTCCGGATACATATCGTGCAATTCGTCTAATCTTAATGGCGAGATAAACGTGTCCGCGTACCAATGGACCGCGGTGCCACTGAATAGTTTCTTGGCTTTCTCATTCTCGAACACCTTTTTGGGGTACCATGGTGTCCCGTAACGTTGATCGTCTAACGTCATGTAAACAAGATTGTACCCGGCCTTGGCCAAGGTCGGAGCTAGGTAATTTGCACTAAATATCGCTCCCGTCTTGGACGACCAAAACATAGAGTTGAAAGGGAAAAACGGCCATATTCCGTTAAACGGCTCGTTGCCCGTCGTTATGCCCCACATCTTAATACCTGTCTCGTTATATGCGTCGAGAAATTTACAAATATAATCAGCATACCGTTGATAATATTCAAATTTTAGAGCACCTGTTGGATCATTGTATTGTATTACGCGATTTTTTTCGTATATATAGCTGTGACTTATCAAAATTACAAATTCGATTTGATTTTTCCTCAGAGATATGTGTTGTTAAATATAAAAATCTAAAAAACATGTACTTTTTGTAATACATATCTAAACTTAACTTTAAGGAGTGAAACCCTCAAACTCACCACCAATTAAGCTAATTGAATTAATAAAGCTCAACGCCCTTGGATACATTTCGTACATATGTATATGTATTATATGAATCAGCTATGTATATTAGCCAGTGTGGAAATATAAGGAAAGTGTGTCTCACGTATCTTTGTATTTAACAACACATTTTAAGGAGAATTACATCAATTGCAAGCAATATAAGTCCCTTGTAAGTTAGTTATCCCCTGTTTTTATCTCCTTAACTGTTCGGCGATAAAAATGCTTGTGTGCCCAAAGTAGTGATATTGACAATGGAGTTAAATTATAAACAAGGTAAATCTGAATTTGAGGTCAAAATTTCAAAATTTTAAATGACGAATTCAACATAGCGAGTCAAATATCCAAAAATTCATGACTCTCATAAAAATGTTTATTGGATTTCTCGAATTTGCCATTTTGAATTTGTGAATTTTTATTTTGAATTTGAAATCGGCGGCTTCAAAAATTTTTCAGTTATAATTTTTATGCAAATCGAACGATTTTTCGAATTTTCGATCTGCCACGTTGGGTCCGTCATTTTGAATCTCGCAATTTTGACCTCGGATTTAAATTCAGCGATCCTAAAAACAAAAATATAGTGTCTTATCTAATGTTCTAATATAGTTCCAATCACTTCGTTATAAGTATTTTTTTTTTTAATGCGCGGATATTTCCGTCATTAATAGCCAAGGAGTTATTAGGTAAATCGGGAAGTTCCGTCCATCTAGCGGCAAGTAGCTATGGCTAGAACTGTCGTTAACCTCTAATGTCTAAAACGAAGTTAATCGTTTGTTTTGACATCTGTCAATAATATTCAGTATATAAAGGTATATGTTTGCATTAATAACATTGTTTTTTACATTGCATCGAAAATGTCGAAATTTGAGCCAAATAAGCGTCATTTGCGCGAAGTGTTAATCTTTTGCTTCAATTGGAAGAAAACTGCAGCTGAAGTTCATCGAAAGCTTGTAGACGTTTATGGTGATAATGCTCCTTCCGATAAAACATGCAGAGAATGGTTTCGACGCTTTAAAAGTGATGATTTTGATATAGAGGACAAAGAGCATTCTGGACGGCCAAAAGTATTCGAAGACGAAGAATTGCAGGCATTGGTAGACGAAGACCCATGTCAAACGCAAAAGCAACTTGCAGAAGCATTAAATTGTACTCAATCTGTCATTTCCGATCGTTTGAAAGCCTTAGGAAAGGTTTACAAAAAAGGAAAATGGGTCCTATATGAACTGAAGCCAAGAAACATTGAAAGGCGAAACAACCACCTGCGAAATTCTGCTTGCTATGCAACAAAGAAAGGGGTTTTTATAACGTATCATCACTGGGGATGAAAAATGGATTTATTTTGACAACCTCATACGTCGAAAAACTATTTGCGATCCCGGTCAACCCTCAACATCGACACCAAAGCGGAATATCCACGGAAAGAAGACAATGCTCTGTATTTTATGGGATCAGAAAGATGTGTTGTACCATGAGCTGTTGAAAAGTGGTCAAACAGTCACAGGGGATCTCTACAGAGAACAAATGATCCGTTTGAGCCGAGCATTGCACGGAAAACGACTAGAATATGAAACGAGACAGCATAAAGTGATTTTGCTTCATGATAACGCCCGGCCTCACGTCACAAAATCTGTCAAGGAAACATTAGAAGCACTGGGAAGTGTTACCCCATGCGGCTTATTCACCAGACAGTGTCCCTTCCGACTACCACTTGTTTCGGTCGATGGCACACGCACTTGTTGACGAATGCTTCAATTCTTATGAAGACGTCGAAAAATGGGTCTCTGACTGGATAGCCTCCAAAGATGAGTCATTCTTTCACCGCGGAATTCGTTTGCTGACCGAAAGATGGAAAAAAGTCATCGCTAATATGGACAATACTAATATGGACATCGCTAAGATGGACAATATTTTGATTGATGTACTTTTTCATTTTGTTCCTTATAAAGCCATACGTTTTGCAAAAAAAACAGACGGAACTTTCCGATTGACCTAATAAAATAAACGAGCGCTTTCGGCAACGAAGCTCTCATAAGCAGACTTTATTTTTTTTCAATTCTCTCCTTTTTCCTTTCCTTTTCTTGTACGAAGACAGTATATTATCGTTTTTTTATTATTATTGTTATTTATTATTTATATTATATATTACTATTTATTATTATTATATATTTTATATTATATATTTATTATAATTATTATTATTGTTGTAATTACCCCATTTTATGTCGTCAGTATTTTTCATCCATGGTGGTGCAGACCAGGCAGTGGTAAATATTTTCAAATTCCCCGGCTTGGACATAACGCTTTTCATTTTATTCAAATAATCCATTTTGTAGTCGTCCTCCTTCGCGAGGTGGAAATGGCTCAACGTAAAATCGTCGGGCACGTCGTCGTACGTGTACGGTCTCGTCGAAAAGTCTGTACCCGCGATAGGTATGCGGCAAAAGACGTATTCGCTACCTTTATCACTATAATACGATCTGAAAATAATCATACATGAGAAGCAGTTACATGAAATGGGTGAAATTCATGTCGGATAAATTTTCGACAATGCAACACGATCGTTTTTGAGACACGCTTCTTCTTTCAATCTTATTTTTTTTCCTTCGAACGATACTGCATAAGACTCAAGACTCTCAATGAATCGCAATTCACATTTTTTGCACTCTGATTTTGCACTCTGTATAGACCTGACGAGTATAAACTTGTAATTCAAAGCGCAGCTTCTTCGAGACAAAAACGTATCTTCCAACAAAGCACGTCGCTTACGTTACGCGCAAATGTCCTTAAAATTTATTTTACTTATTTTTCTACCTCTTCGTCTGCGGCCTCGTGCAGACGTAGTCGTCTTATAGTTAATTGTTTGGATATAATTCCGGAGGGCGCCTATACATTTGTAATACACTTCTAAGTATCGGAAAGGTAAAGATAAAATATTAATTCCGGCAATTAAACGGAAGCTGAGTATAATGAATTTTGCTTTCTAATTATCAAATAATTGTACCCTTTTTGACGTCTACGTCAACATTTTAAGATTTAAGTAATTTAAGTAATATTTCCATGATCCCACAAAAAGCAAAAAGTTATTGAACAAATAAAGTTAGCAATTCAAACGATCTAACCTAACCTAACCTAACCAAACCAAACTCCTGACTCTAATCAAACTAAGCCTAACCTAATCCTAACCTAATCTAAATCTTACCCTTACCTAACATAAAAAGCCTACGACATACTTGAACATAAAGAATACAATATCCTTAAAATGAATTGTAGCATCAAGTTTATTTGCAATAAAATCGGTGCCAGTGCCTAGATGATTGAATCCTAGTGGAGACCTTTACGACTCAAGTTGCAAAAAATGGCAGTGTCTCATCAGAATAACTCGATTATCCTCAGAATTGATTAAAGCAATTAGACAAATTTATCCCGGCAAAGGTCGTTAAGTGAACTTATCACTAAGAAGCAAAACCCGGCTGAAAGAAGCAAAATTCGGCTTTTAACAAACAAATAAAATATTAATAAACAATTATCGGGACTGATATTTTATATTTAACATTCTCACACCTACGCAAGTGTATCCCAAAAATTTCAGCTCGCCAACTCATAAGAGCCCCTCGGAATTGTAGCCCCATTTGTTTATTTTTTTTTACTACATTTCATAATCATACTCGAGCAGCTTTTGTTGGGTCTCGTTGCTGAGTGTTCTGATGTTAAGCGCGGCGGCGTCAGTCATCGCTCCGCCGAATCCGAATATTTTTTGATATCTTTGAGTAATGTCTACTGTAAGAATAATTTCGTTGGATATGGGCTGACTGGAGAAGTTGCCGATTGAACGCTGCAACCTTTTGCCTTTCTTGGTGGAAGTATATGTGACATACTGGTTCTCCTTCACCTCTACATCCTGCACGGAGTCGCAGTACGTTGAATTACAGACACATACGATGGCACCCGGCTCGATTACACGACTCACGCAATCGTCATCACCTGCAACAAGGCGAGGCGATGAAGTCGGAGGACCTGACGATTCACTACCATCGTCGACACGCTCTACGCGACGAAAATCCTCGCGGAGGGTCTTTGGAATATCGAGCATCGGGCAGTCGGGGAGAATCGAAAACTAGGTTAGCAAAAAAGTTCTGGACTTTTTTTTGCAAAATTCAATCTTTATTTAAAAACAAACAAAAAAATATTAATCAGCGAAATATTCCATGCTTTCATCGTTGACCTTTTGCCATCTTTCGAGCAGTTTGCGAATTCCCTGATGATAGAAGCTTACCGGCTTCGAGCTGATAATTCGATCATCAATGCATTTTCGTATCTTTTCAAGTCACGAAATAACATATATATTAGCTAAGTGACGTTGCAGCGATCGGAATAAGTGGTAATCAGAAGGCGCCATGTCTGGGCTATACGCTGTGTGCGGAAGAAGTTCCCAGCCTAATGCTAAAGCTCGTATCAGACTACGGATTGGGATTGAGCATTGAATTGAAATTTAACCAATCAGGGCTATGTTTACTTATATATTTGAGATTATTTTCTTTTTTCCAATTGATCAAATATCAATCCAATCTCAATCCCAATCCATAGTCTGATACGGGCTTAAGGGTGCCGTCCCATGTAAAACGGAAAAGCGGAACGGCAAAATATCTAGTGGGGGTTAACCAATGAGAATAACTGTAAGAGATGCTAACATATATATCTCAGAAATATGTTACTTTCTATAGCAAATGTTAGTTTGACAGAATTCTAAACGTTTGGACAGCATTGTAATAAAAACATGTCATTGGTAAATTTTATCTTTGTAATATTATCACATTATTAAACGTATATTTACATTCAATTTCTAAGTACATGTGTTAATAACCAAAATAGTTTTATGAGTACAAAAAATAATATATGGCATATGATTAAGCTATAACAAAATATTTATTCTATTACATTTGTTGATATGATCTTTCTTAAATTTCTTACGTATAATAACATAATACGTAAGCTTTGTTCCGATTTCGAATAACTGTACCCCATGCACCGGAAAAGCAGAAAATCGTAAAAATGAAAAGTAAAATAAAAAGTAAAATAAAAAGGAAAATCATATAAGTAAAAATATTTATTAATCAGTATTTATCAATCACAGACAAAAAATGATTCAATCTTATAAGCAAAATATGTTAGTATATTAAATCGTACAAATTGTATACAATTTAGGTACCGTTACAATGAATTAATTAAAATTATAAATCAGTTAAAGTTAGAATTCTCCACTTTTTTCCGTAAAATATGCTCCATGGGGACAACGCGTAATCTGAAATCGGAATAGAATATTGGATGATTCGTTGCTCCCATCAGAACAGAGTGTTACATTATACGTAAGAAATTTAAGAAAGATCATATTAACAAATGTAATAGAATAAATATTTTGTTATAGCTTAATTTTATGATATATATTGTTTTTGTATTTATAAAACTATTTTGGTTATTAACACATGTACTTAGAAATTGAACGTAAATATACGTTTGATAATGTAATAATATTACAATGATAAAATTTACTAATGATATATTTTTGTTATAATGCTGTCCAAACGTTTAGAATTCTGTCAAACTAACATTTGCTATTGTTACGTCCGGAAAATTCCGTGCGATTAAAAACCTAATCACAATAGTATGACTAAAGGTACTTGGTGAATTTCCGTGCGAGTCAAAAAAATACTGACGCCAAACATGTTATCACGCGACGCGATAGCTCTAGAATCTCTGGAAATTTCGATGCTCCGGAAATATTAACAAAAATCCTTGAACCGACTCGGATTTGTTTCCCACCTAGCTCTTAGTCAACGTTAACAATATCACAAATATCCTAACCATAATCGAACCCAACTATTCCTTAACTTATCATTATTGGGCAACTTGGATAAATACCGATGTTTCCTTCTTCCTTCAAAAGATTGCTGCCACGTTTTTTCGTAAGAACTAAAAAATCTCGAAATTCTCTTATTGCCATATGTATTTTATCTCCTACAATAATTATCTTCGAGATACTGCAACGTACTTTTAAAATCCACGTAAAAGAAATCTTCGCAGCACAGTTCTATGACCATATTTGGGCATAAAATTTAGATTTCTGAAGCAACTCTCCCAGCCTCACCCTCTCAACCGAGCTGACGACTTGAGTAAAGTCAAAAGGTTTCTTCACTTCTCGACAGTCTCGCAAGCTGAAAAGTTCAAAAACTTCTCTTGACTTCTCAGTTTTGAATTTTCCCTTCATACCCCGCGATTTAGAACAAGTGTGGTCAAATGATCGAGATATACCTCACCCGTACCAGCCTAAGAAGCCAACCTCCTACAGAAGCCAATTTGGACGACCAGTTCTTCTGTTCAGGCCTTTTGCCGTTTCTACATCTCCATCAAGGCAGCATCTAACTTTCCAAGTCAGTGAGTCATTTCATTTCTTTTCTTTTTTCTTACTTAATTATAATTTCGATTTGTTTCTGTCGGGAGGGAAATCTTACTCTTCACTTTGTTTTTTCTCTGGATCCTTTCTCCTTTCTCATCATCGGACTTCCTTATTTCCTACTATGCGGTACACACTCCGCTACACAACATACACCCTGCCGACCGTTGTTATAAACATGTATAATTTTATACCGATCATGCGAACCTATTGTATATAACCTCGTTCCGGCAATATTTGTTAAAGTTATTTTAAATTTGCTTTCAATTCAACTTCAATAAAATGTGCCGTCAATTTTTTATAATTTATATTAATTTTATTTTATAATTTAAATCACGTTCTCTCTCTTTCCACTTCATCCCCGATTTCAACTATCAACTCGCGGTCCAGTATCAGGTAAAGAGATTTAGTTCTCTGACCTAAAAGTGGACCACCCGCCGTACATCGCGATCGGAGTAAACGGACTCCTCTGGTCCCTGTATCGCGCATACGTAAGTACGTGCGGGACTCGCAAGCGCGAGTACACGTTGCGTCTTCTTCCGGACGTAATTATAGAAAGTAATATGTTTCTGAGATATATATATTTGCATCTCTGATAGTTATTCTCATTAGTTAACCCTCACTAGACTTTTTTCCGTTCCGCTTCTCCGTTCTATATGGGACGGCACCCTGAGATATGATCCTGAGTCGCTTTCGCAACATGTAGTCGGGCATTATCATGAAGCAGGATCACTTTTCGACATTCTTGGCTAGTAAATGGCCTTTTTTCCTCCAACGCATCGCTCACATCGGTTAATTATTGTTGATAATGGTCTGCCGTGATTGGTTATCTGGCTGTAATAACTCATAATACAACACATCTTTCCAATCCTACCAGATGTAGAGCAAAACCTTAGCGTGGATATTGGGCTTTGGCGTCGATGTCGAAGATTGATCAGAGTCAATCCATGATTTTTTGTGCTTGGAGTTATCATAAAGAATTTACTTTTTATTGCCTGTAATGATTTTGTGCAAAAAATCCTTTCTCCGGAACTTTCAAAGCAAAGTAAGTGCGATGTCACACCGTCGATTTTTGTTGTCTTCGGACAGTTCATGCGGAACCCATCTGCCTTCCTTCTAAATCTTTCTGATTGCATGTAAATGTACGGAAATGGCTTGCCGCGTAACGCCAAGCTGCTTTGCAAACTCCTTTACAGTTTGCGTAAAGGATATATCCAGCAATGCTTGTAGTTTGTTCGTTTCAATCTTTTGAGGGCATCCAGTACGCGGTTTATCTTTAAGACTGAAATCACCTTAGCGAAATTTTTGATACCACCTTTTATATGTAGAATGACTTTCAGCGTTCTCACCATATGCAGCACAAATCATTTCAGCGGCTTTAGCAGCATTTTTCTTCAGATGAAACACGAAGTGGATGGAAAATAGAGTATGCTCTTTTGTTATTGCCATTGTGAACATTACTGATTTTTGAGGTTATGTGCATTAAACGCCAAATTGTGTGGCATTTTAAAAGGCCAAATATAAATGCCTCTAAACCGCAAAAGAGCGGGAGAATAAGTAAGATTTAAATTGGTGGTTTCGATTGTATGAAATCTAAAACCCAGAACTTTTGTGTTCACCTAATATACTCGTATCTCCCGTCACGAAATTAGGTTCGCCCATTGCGGTGTTGTTTCTACACGAGAGCTGCAAATTCGAGTGAGTCGTTTATCCTTGAAGTGTCGTAAGTGTCGTAGTTACGGAAATCTCGTATCAGGAGATCGGCCCATCGACGTCTCGTTGGGATTCATGACGGAAATTGGTGTCACTTTCCACGAGTGAACAGCTTGAATGTGATTGAGAGAGCCCACGCGTCGAGAAGGAAGCGATTAATGTTACTCAGTGAAACTCAGCGACGGAAAAAGAGCTAACTGTCTGCGATAACCTACTCCGTTAAATATATAAGTATATGGATAGTGAAGTTAATGTATAAGTCATGTTACTTGAATATGTATATAACGAAAGTTTCATTATACATGTGCCGATAATATGAAATGCGTAGAATTTTTTTTCGCGAAAGAATCTTGGATAAATTTCTATAGACCGCGGGAGCTCTAGTCCAGTCGTTCGTGTTCTTCGAATCGAAAAATGAAATTAAATAATAGCAGGTACAGTCGTGAAACTTCACTGTGCTTACCTCTTATCGTGACTGACGCGGCGATCAGAAGAATCAGTACGCGCATCATCCTTGATAATTGTCGATCTGCAAATGATACAATAATTTTTATGATAATAGTCACGATATACGGTTATTAAACGGAGTGCTCGTACGACCATCGATTTACGATAATATTTTTACTATCGGATCGCCATTACTGTACGCGACGCGTTAATCTGCAATATTAACATCCGCAATAATAACCGTTGTGCGTCGAGTTGCTCGAGCAGCAGTTTAATTCTGCGCGATGTAATGCCATCTTGTTTAAATAACTGTCTATTAGAGTACTTCATTACTGTGTAATTATACTACTTTATTACTACGTACTATTGTACTATTGGATCGTACTGGTAATGCATATTTATGTGTTATTTGTATAAACTTGTTACTTGCTTAGTGTCGATTTATCAAATCGACCGCACCATTTAATTGGAACCGTGATCTATCATCTGTCTTAATCATTCAAACGTACTTTTTAAATACTTTGAATTGAGATTTCGCTTAAAACGAGCGGATAATTATCGTACTCCGACGATTCTCGGAGTGGAAAAATTCACGGTAATTAATTAGATTAATGAACCAACTTCCACCCCTTTGACTTTGACATATGCTGTCAAAAAATGTCATGCTCCTGAATAATATGCAAAAAGTTTCAATCGTTGCTCATTGCTTATTAAAAAGTTATTAAGAAAAAATATTTAAATGAAATGTATATAATAATTTTTCTTTGCATACATATGTATACATATATGCGAGTTATGAGCTAGTCCCTCTCCTACATCCTCAAAGAATGTATTCTAAAAAACTTTATCTTGACCTAACCTAATCAATATTCACATTTCTTAAGAATGCACTTCTTCGTCTATCCGTGTACTAATTTTGAACATAACAAATCATGTCTTACAGCATTGACAAATTATTAAAAACTGTTATAATATAATATAAATAATATAGATTAGATTAAGGTTAGCTTTTTGAACGTTAGACATTAGAAAGTGCAAAGGAAATACACTCTCCCTTGTACTTTCCTCCACGTATACACGTATACATTATTTATAGACGTACTCGAGAAATCTATATGGTGTAAAATATGTGTCTTATTTATGAAATTCTTTTGTTCATCAATTTGACTGATGGGATTTTTTAATGTTATTCAAGATGATTTACTCAACATATGTCAAAGTTAAAATCACTGGAGGAAATTCGCTAATGTGAATAAATACTCTTTACAAACTTGTTTTGTTAATAAATTTCTATTAAACGACGAATGACACTTTATAAATGTTATGAATAACGGTTTTTAAATGTTACTTACAATAATGACCGTAATAACATATGTCAAGGCCAATGTCGTTGAAGCTGGTTTGCCAAATATTACCGAATTCACTTTTATGAGTCTACATGAGCCTCATTCTAGATGAATCACTCAGTCTCGAATGAATCGATAGTCACTCAATTTTCCGGATGAAATTTCACTCGAAAGAATTTAGAGATTACGATAAGTGGGAGTGTATCGAATGTATATTAATTGAATTCTGGATTTCAATGTGAGAAACCAAGGGTTCGGCCCATTAACTGTTCGATTGTTAGACGTGCGGTTACATTTATCTTGTCGAATTAAGTACATTATTTTAATTAATTATTTCAATTATTATTTAAAAATCGTTAATGCAATAAAAATCTCCTATTTTATATGTTGCGCGTGATTTTCGTGTTACGAATGGTTCGTACCTAAGTATCCTTTTGATAGTTTTTCAACAGTCGTATTACTCTATCCTTCGTTCTTTAGTGTTCTTCTGACGAACCCAGACTGGCAACGTCATTCGGCTAGTGGCCCCGTAGTTATCGGGATATGCGTGTTTAAGATAAGCTGTAGTGTGTTATATTTATCGTTAACATTTTAACCAATGCACATAGTATTAGTATAAACTTTAAATAACAAGGTCATTTCATCCCTGAAGTATCCTCCTCCTCGCGCTCGCGTTATGATAGGCAATAGCCGAAATGTATTTCGAGTAAAGATGATACGACGAATACTCTTGATATAATTCTTGGACATCATTAAGGTCCGTTTTCTGGCTTTTTCAATATATTTTAGTTTTAGTAATTTCCTTAGGCATAAAATGTCGATTATCGATCATCAAGTCAGGTAAGTAATACTATTCTCTGTTTTTAGTTGCAAAGAATCAGATATTTTGAGTGAATAATTATCATCAAATCTTCCGATTGAAATAGAGAGCTACGTTTCGGAGATATTTTTTCCGTTTCCCTTACGTAACTGGTCTAGCGCAAGTCGTTTATTTACGTATTCTTACAAACATATAAGTATAGAATATTATAAAAATATGATTAAGTTAAAAAAGAGCTAAATGTTTATTTTGACACGAAAACTGGTATTTATGCGTACTTGGGACACCTTGCTAATGATCTTGAACTTTATATATGTTGTCAAGGACGTGTCCTTGAGTAATTTGCAAAAAGTTTCAGGTGGTCATTTATTAAAAAGTTATTGATAAAAGAATTTTCATAAATGACATAGTCTCTTCTCCGTTCATTTATTTATTTGTTTATGCATGCAAATTATTATGTATATGTTGACGAAGCAGAATTCCTCTTGCACTGTACATTTCCAAAAAATAACTTGATCGATCTTAATATAACCTGACCTTACTTAATTCAACTTACATTGCTGTTACTTTTGGTATTAGGAAATAAAGTCAAATAAAATCGTTATGTTGTAAAATATTGCACATTTATCTATTTTTTAATTTATTTTGTTATTAAATATAGGTTAATCTGTTTTATAAATAACAAAAATAATGCGTTCAGAAATATATAAAGAACATTTGCGTTCAAAAATTCAACAAATAGATTCAAAAATAATATATAATGATATTTTTGTCGGAAGAAAGTAGTCAAATGAAATGGCAATATTATAAGATGTTGTACATACCAACATAACTAAAGAAGTGCAATAATATGATTTCTTTTTGACTATTATTTATACTTACATTTTTCTTGACTATAATGCACGATATTGTTACGTGCTATACAGGGTGATCCGGAGCAATTTCTTATCCTTAATATACCACATTCTTGAACAAATTTTAAGACCATTTTTCCTCTTGAAAAATGTTATCCGATGCTTAGTTACTGGCTATTATTAAGATAATTAAAATAAATGAAAAAAAATAATAAAAATAATAGATATTATTAAGATAAACAGTTCGTCTGTTATGGATCAGACATAGAAAGCAGGCAGGGACGGAACAATTGACCGTTCGCGCGCCTGCCGCATAGTTTGCAGAAACTTTGCCAGCAGCTTATGTATTTTTAAATAAATAACTTTATTGGAATTTCTACATCTATTTACTTGTAAATGTTTTACGCAGAAAACTTTGATTTGCACGATAGAACTATTTGTTATTAATTTCGTCTTATATTGCTCTCACAAATAAAGAATAATTACCTTAGTTATTCTTAAAAAGTCAATAAGTGAGCCGTTTCCTTTAAATACATTAATTTTTCTCTCTCGCGAATCTTTTACATTTCAACAAGATATATTTATGTAATATTTGCTCGACGTTTCATAAAGAACTTTTAGCTACATTTCTTCTGAAACTTTTAAACGTAACGTGAAGAAAAGAAAATTAATTCCTGTCTCGTAAAGAGAATGTGTAAATTATATCGATATTCGGTGCATTCCTTGCATTCGTAAGAAATAACGTGTATATATATCTACGACGAGAGAGAATAGTGCTCTCCAATATGTGTTTAAATAAAAATTGAAGATTCTGTTCTACTCAACACAGTCACGATGATATATGCCTGCCAATTTATGCAAATATCTGATAAATACGCATTTAAGTAATGCAAATATGAAAATTCACATTTATCATTTCTGATATAATTTTTTTAGGAATATTTTCCAAAAATTTGCATATCAGTATTATGGACTTTACGTCCGAAGAGTCCATGCTTTCGTCGAATTACAATTATATACATACATATGTGTATATATATATATTTCTTTTTAATACATATACATATATGTATATATAGGGTGTTCGGAATCTTTTAGAAACGAAAAATTATGAAGATTAATCAGACCAAACTGAGAAGAAAAGTCATTTTGCTATTACATTTTGCTACATTTTGCGTACTATTTTGCAAAAATCGCAATAGTTATTAAGTTATTAATGATTGAAAATGACCACATCTAGAGGCTTTTTCAACTTCTAATAACTTGAAAACATGCATATTTATTTGCAAAATGGCAAAGAACTTTTTTGTTCAGAATTATTTAATCTACAGTTATACAAGGTGTCCGGTAATTAGCTGCCAATCCGAAGTGTGAAGGTAGATTGGGTTGAGACAAACATAAAAGTCCCATACCGTTTTGCGAAATTCGCAATAATTATCAAGTTATTAATTATAGAAATCTGAGGAGTGGGAGCGCGCCGACATAGATGATTGGAGAAGCATTACAGCTGCTCAGGCCACATGGCCTCGTCCGCCAAGCGAAGGGGAGGATAACGCGTTGTTATTCGTTATTTTATCTCGCAGCACGCCGCCAACAGTTGCTGGGTCGACTGGGCCGCGTTGTAACCCGAGAGGCTGCGACGCTTCTCCAATCATCCATCTCAGCGCGCGCTCATTCGTCAGATTTCTGTAATTAATAACTCGATAATTATTGCGAATCTCGTAAAACGGTATGGAACTTTTATGTTTGTCTTAATCTACCTTCACACTTCGGGTTGGCAGCTAATTACCGGACACCCTGTATACAGGGTGTTCCATAATTGTAACACACCAACTCCATAGGGGCGTAGAACTAAACGAGAGGAACGAAAAAGTTCTTCATGTTCGCATGTACATGCGAGATATCGCTAAATGGAACAGATATTTTAAATCATGTTTATGCAAAATCTAGATTTCACAAATACGATACAACGTATCAACGATAAGATACGTGCAAATTATTAAACGTATCGAGGAGATCTAATTAATTATTTTATATGTTATTATCTATTATACGTGATTAA